ACCCATCGGCCCCTCTGCACTCTCTACGTGACCTACCCCACGTGGTAGCTGCAACGGTGCAACGACCGCGTGCTGCGGTCTGTGGCGAGGAAGCTTCTGGAACTGTGGGAGAGAGAGAGAGATAATGAGAGAGCGAGGAGGGTAATTTTCTGAGGCTGATGGAATATTCCATGACCGAAGAACACAAAGGTGCACAAAAGCCTCTACGAATCTAGAATAATTACCGGAATTTATTAATTTTGTGTCACAAATGCGTTAAAAAGACAACCAGAACTTCTATTACCGTATTTTTAACTCTACTATCATAATTCATACATTATTATTAGTGAGAAAGATTGGATGTATGGATGTATGTTTGTGACAAGTAAACGCGAAAAATAATACTAAACCGACAGGGTTGAAATTTGGTATGATGATAGCCCACATTCCCGATTAACATATAGACATATTCTTATTGCAAAAATCCTTTCGGGCTCCACCCTAGTAGCCCTGGAGTTTCCCATGTTAACCATATGAGAATACAAAGCATTGCAGCAAGAAAACTAAACATGTGTTGTTTCTAAATTAGTAGTTGACGAATTCAAAAGCATGACGAAACACGTAATTTATTTTTATGGTAGTATAATAAATACCCCCGCCGCAGCAAACCTGCAGACTAAGCGAATTTCCATTTGACTGATTTGATTTACACTGAAATGTCTACTTAAAAATATAACATTTATTCCCGATTTAAATAGAATTAGCAAGTACTTAGGTTTGCTGCATCAGGGAGGGTAAAACTTTTTTTTATGTTAATAGTTAGTAAGAAATAAAAACATTTTCCAAATTTAATCAAAATATGTTCATAAACAAGCAAACTACAACAGTTTACTTATTCTCCATAAGAATAACATGGGAATTGTAAATTTACAATTTTTTGGAATTTTCTCCGTAACCATTAGGCGCATAATAACGCTTCAATATACTAAATTATTTGTTTTTTTAAGCTCTACAAAATGGTTTGGAAAGAAATTGCTAAATTTTATGTTTTTTGGGTCAAAAATGGGAAAAACCTATTTTTACCCCATAAAACCCCCCGTAAACCCCCGTTCCCATAGTCCGATCATGCTGGATCGCGAACTCGTTCGAATAAACGTAGGTTTACACGTTTGTACCAAATTTCATCAAAATCGGACCATTTTTGCTCGAGTTATCGTGCTAACGGACACATATATAAATATATATATAAATATATATATATAAATATATATATATAAATATATATATATATGAATTTGAACGGATGGTGTTTTTGGCCTCTAGGGACCTCAAAACGAAAAAAAAAATCGGTCCCGCGTCCAAGTCTTACCATGAGTACTACGGTAATAGCTTATTCCCTATATGGGAAATTCGCTAAAACCACACTAAAACGAATATTCTCACACAATAAATCTTATTGTTGGGACAGGATTTTGATGGCTACGCTCAAATACGTTTGATTAAGTGCAATCTCAAAAATCTGGTAGTCATAAACACACAAATACAATATAGCGAAAATTCTCCAAATGAGGTTACATGCGTAAACGTAAACGCATGAAAGATGGCTCTATTGATGTCGGTTGGTTCTAGAACAGAACAGCTGTTTGAATGGGAGGGGGGAGGGGGAAGGTTCTAGACCATTGTTGTATCGCTCAGCTCTGGAACGTTCCAGAACCTAAAAACCGTTGTTCCCGTCCCGTTTCAAACTCCTAGTTCCAAATAATTCAGTCCAACGTATCCAAGACAATGAAACTACAAAATAATTGTGGGAAAATATAAAATATTTAGAGATTTTGTCTGATACTAAATGAACTGAAAAATTACTATTAACTGAAAAAGTATTTTCAAAATCGAACCCGAACTGTTTACTCAAATTATTGATTCCTACCGAATGAAAAATAATTGGGTACTTTCCTGTTATCTGGTACCTGCGAAAAAATTCTTTAACAACTTCGTCGATCCAGAGTCCGGAGCACATACTACCGTTTAGGTTAGGTTTGGTTAGGTTCGTTTACTTACAATACTCATGTTATTGATAAACTAACCTAACCTAACCTAACCAAAGTACAACCAGGTACCAGATAACAGGAAAGAATTTTTTCGCAGGTACCAGATAACAGGAAAGTACCAATAATTGATCACTGAAATGTTTTTCCATTTTTACTATTTCATTTTCCTATGACTTAACGTATTTTCTGACTTAGTTCACAATACAGTACTGTCTACTGTCAATGGTTGAATTATATTTGGACCATCATTAGACCTCACATTCACATTGGGAATAAAGTAATTTCAGCTCAAATAAATTTTCATCCAATCTAAAAACTACGCTTTTAACTAATCACACACTTGGGTAATCTCTTAGTTTATTGGAACGTAAATAAATTCAATCCCTCATTAACGTAGTATACTAACGTCGTACATTAACGTCGTATACTTTATAAAGTATTAAGTTTGAATAAACCAAGACATTTTTTAATTTCACACAATTGTGGTTTTTGGCTTTTCAATGAGCATTTGAATTAGAGCCAGTTGTAAAATTGTTTTGTGGCGTCCAAAGATTATTGAATCTTCTTAAATCATTTTGCCCTATAGCTTCTACAGTTAACACGTACAGGATACATCTACATTGGTATCTAATATTGATACCTTCGTTCTTGAGGTTAAAGTTTAACACATTTTTCATATTCATCCCTAAAGGTTGGTCCTTTACCGGTACTACACGAAGAGCGCAGGCAACAAAAGAAGGTAATTAATCCAGTTCTCAAAACTGGGATGACACAAAAAATTCAGAGTTTTTGTTGTCAAATTAAGTACATGGTGAAAGAGTACAAAGTAAGGGAAGCAAAAAACTACATTGTCGGATTAGTACATATTAATAAGAAATAACATCTACGATCGAGGGACTATGTTTAATTGTGTTAGTTACGTTGCTGCTGTTGTTGTAATTATTGTAGTATTTATATCACATCTTGCTTGGATTTTTATTGTTATTTCTTGTTATGTATGGCTATTTTATTGTTATTTCTTGGTAATGTTTCAATGTAATGGGTTTCCCGTTGGAATAAATAAATAAATTTACGATGAAAATATACTCAGAAGAAATAAATATCACCTGCGATCAAGATCGATTATTTACAGACTAAAGTTATTATAACCCTTTAAAATCTGCAAAACTTGCGATTGGAATATATTGAAGTAAATAAGATTATAAAAAACAAGGATTAGTAGTAGTAGTGAGAGAATTATTTAAATTTGTTCAAGGTCGAATATAGGTCACTAGCCTGCTATCCGAGCGTAGTAGTTGAGTCACATTTGTTTAGTTTTTGGCACGTGAATCAGCTGTTGTAATCAGCTGATAGAGCTTCTAGATTATTGTCCTAATTCTGGCACACACCCACAGACAGCCTACGTCACAGCTGTCTTCAATCTATAATTAGCATCAGCTGTTTACCTAGAATCTTCGGTAAACAGGAAATTTTACGTTGGAAATCTATAGACGTTTTGGAGATTTGTATTGTTAGTCAAAGTAAATAGGCAAAAAATAATAATTATAGGTGTTGATTAAAATTGATAGTATATGGATAAACAAGTATCAAAAGCAGCTATCCAATTTTGTGATATACTACGGTAAAAACCACGAAACCGTAAAACGAATATTCTTCCATAGCATGTTGTGCTGTAGTTTCATAATAAAATAAAACAACCTCGTTTAGAGTTAGACCGACAACAAGGATATTTTGTACGAATAAAAGGACGGTTTCTATGTTGGCTGCTTCAATGTGGAGTTTGAATCTCTGATGATATTTTTGTTACAACCAAAAATACCTATGTGCGGTGGAACTTTCAAAGTCAATGAAAATACAAAACTGACCAAGAAGTTTGTGATTTTTACATCAGGCAGGTTTTGTACCGTTTTTGATCAAAGGATTAACCGTGCCCAATTTGAGAAATTACTGTTCTGTTTAAAATGACACAACTATTAACTTAGACCTATTTACTCTGTCGTATATAACCTAATGGCTAATAAATAATGTCCTTTTGGTAGCTTTTCACTACAATTGTGCAACTATCAATACAGTATTGTATATTCAAACAAACTGAAGACGAAATTATTACTATATTTCCAGAGTCAGTTTCAGTTTTCTTGATCAAAAATGACCTGAGAAAAAACTAAAATATCTCCAGATTCGTTGCCTAAATTACACTTGTATATTTGGTAGGTACTTGATAAATGAATAATTCGATTTGAGTATAAATTATCAGCGTAATAATACAAGTTTACCAAACCCAGTTTCATTTATGTTGAATAAAACAACAAATTTGAGCTATTAACTTGATTCGAAAGATGTGAAGGTAATTTAGTACAAAGTATGATATAAAAGTGTTTACAACTTCAACAAATAAAGTCAATAATACAGTTTATTGGTTCATTTCTAAAGATATATAAACCTGATAATAATATTAGAATAATTAAATGTTAGGTAGTTTCTAGAATTTTAAAGTACTTAAAATGAAATAAATATTTCAAAATCATATTAAATTTATAATTTAAAAATGTTTCAAATGTTTAAGAGATAAATAATATAAAATTTGAAATAATATTGATGTCTGTATTTGTTATCATAATAAATTAAATTCACAATTAAAACCAATAATATTGTAATAATATCGTCTTAATATTGTATAGTTAAATTCACACGAAGGAAAACGAAATTATTTTGGCAAAGTTATTCCCAAAATAGCGTTGTATTCTACAAAGAATCAGAATCTGACAGAAGTTTGCGTTTGCTAGAAAGTTCGTGAAAGAGCGGGAACAGCGGTGGAGATCAATACACGCGCCGTCGACCAATCAGAGCGCAGCTCGAGAAGCTTCTCGGCCAATGAGAGCGCCGCAGCGCCTCAAACAGCTGAGAAGCTTCGAGAACAAGTCAGCTGGTTATAAATACGAGCCGCTCGCCCTAGCTCTTCAGTTTGAAAGAGTCAGCGCAACACAAAGTGACTAAAGCGATCTTATCCAGTGCGTTTATTTGTTCAGTGCGATATCTGAAGTGATTTTATTCTGTGTCAAGTGTATTATAGACGATCATCATGCCAGGAAAAATGCCAGCTATTGGAATCGACTTGGGAACGACCTACTCCTGCGTTGGTGTGTGGCAGCAGGGGAAGGTGGAGATCATCGCCAACGACCAAGGCAACAGGACGACTCCCAGCTACGTCGCCTTCACAGACACAGAGAGGCTGATAGGAGATGCCGCCAAGAACCAGGTAGCCATGAACCCAGAAAACACAGTATTCGATGCTAAAAGATTAATTGGCAGAAAATTTGATGACCCCAAAATTCAACAAGACATCAAACATTGGCCATTCAAAGTAGTTAGTGACTGTGGTAAACCTAAAATCCAAGTAGAGTTTAAAGGTGAAAGAAAAGTATTTGCCCCAGAAGAAATTAGTTCCATGGTTTTAACAAAAATGAAGGAGACCGCAGAGGCCTACCTCGGCGGTACAGTTAGAGATGCAGTTATCACAGTTCCGGCTTACTTTAATGACTCGCAAAGACAGGCTACAAAAGATGCGGGGGCCATTGCTGGGTTGAATGTCCTCCGAATCATCAATGAACCCACAGCAGCAGCTTTAGCTTATGGATTAGATAAGAACCTTAAAGGAGAGAGGAATGTTTTAATTTTCGATCTTGGCGGCGGCACTTTTGATGTCTCCATCCTGACCATCGACGAGGGCTCCCTCTTCGAGGTGAAAGCTACGGCAGGCGACACACATCTGGGAGGTGAGGACTTTGACAACCGTCTAGTCACCCATCTAGCCGAGGAGTTCAAGAGGAAGTTCCGCAAGGACATCCGCTCCAACCCAAGGGCTCTCCGCAGGTTGAGGACAGCGGCCGAGCGAGCCAAGCGCACTCTGTCATCCAGCACCGAGGCCAACATCGAGATTGATGCACTCTACGAGGGTATCGACTTCTACACCAAGGTCTCGAGAGCACGCTTCGAGGAACTCTGCTCAGACCTGTTCCGCAACACACTACAGCCTGTCGAGAAGGCGTTGAATGATGCCAAACTCGACAAATCATCCATCCACGATGTAGTCCTTGTGGGAGGATCCACCCGCATTCCAAAGATCCAGAATCTGCTGCAGAACTTCTTCAACGGCAAGTCTCTAAACCTCTCCATCAACCCTGACGAGGCTGTCGCCTACGGTGCTGCGGTCCAGGCTGCCATCCTCTCCGGGGACCAGAGTACTGCCATCCAGGACGTGCTGCTTGTTGACGTCGCTCCTCTGTCACTTGGTATCGAGACGGCAGGCGGAGTGATGACCAAGATCATCGAGAGGAATGCCAGAATCCCGTGCAAGCAGACACAAACCTTCACCACCTACGCAGACAACCAACCAGCTGTCACCATCCAGGTCTTCGAGGGCGAGCGTGTGATGACCAAGGACAACAACCTCTTGGGAACATTCGACCTAACAGGAATCCCGCCCGCACCTCGAGGCGTACCCAAGATCGACGTCACCTTTGACCTGGACGCCAATGGTATCCTGAACGTCTCCGCCAAAGACACCAGCTCTGGTAAATCAAAGAACATCACGATCCAGAACAACAAGGGTCGACTGAGCAAGGAGGAGATTGACAGGATGGTCAACGAGGCCGAGAGGTATAAGGAAGAAGATGAGAAGCAGAGAGAAAGGATCTCAGCTAGGAACCAACTGGAGAGTTACACCTTCAACGTGAAGCAGGCGGTTGATGACGCCGGGGACAAACTGAGTGAAGCTGACAAGAACACCGTCAAGCGAGAATGTGACGAGGTGCTGCAGTGGCTCGACAACAACACTTTGGCGGACAAGGAGGAATATGAACACCGACTCCGAGAACTGACCAAGCAGTGCTCTCCGATCATGTCCAAGCTCCACGGCGCAGGCCAAGGTGCTCCCGGCGCAGGTGGTTGTAACCCCGGTGCAGGCGGCTTCAACCCCGGCGCAGGTGGCTTTCCCGGTGCAGGCGGCTTCAACCCCGGTGCTGGTGGCTTCCCCGGAGCAGGCGGCTTCAACCCCGGCGCAGGTGGCTTCCCCGGCGCAGGCGGCTTCAACCCCAACTCTGGCCGAGGAGGACCAACCATTGAAGAGGTTGACTAAATTTCACCACCCATGTATGTTGTATTTTAATTCTCAAGACTGGTTCCTATTTACATCTTTTTTATAATTTCCTGTTATGATTTTTGTTTATTTTAATTAAGATTAGCTTATTGTGATGTTCTGTAGTTATATTGCATTATACACAATAAACTAGTGTTAATTATTTAAAATCTGAGTTATTATTTTCCCTAAATACTCTATTTTATTTTTAGTATCAAACTGACAATTAACTTTCAGTAATATATAGGCCTGTGAGAAGAAATTATAAATTTTTAAAAACATATTTCAAAGTGGAAGTAAGAAATAAATTAGCTTATTAAATCAGTGTCCAATCTACTGGTTAAAAAAATATTTTTTTGCTATAATTTCAAAGAGAAATAATATGTCTTCCTATTAGAAAGTGTGTAAGAACAATGAGTGTTCAAGAGGCAATTCATAACTTGAATATATCATTTGTGTAATGGCTTAAACATTAGGCCTATATTATTGATATTGAGTACAAAAGATAGAATACAATAGAAATATAGTTAGCCAAAAACAATCAGATAAATAATTGAGCCAACATTATCAACAGAACTGACAAAAATTGGTTACAAACTATATCTTTGGTTGCAAGTTTTATGTCAGAAAGATCATCTTAATGGTGTCCATAAAGAAATCAAAAAGGTATTTACAATTCAATGATTGTTATAAATTGAGGAAAGATAGATATCACAGATTAGGAGTTTGAAATGCTAAATAAGAAATAATCAAAAAAATAATTTATAATAAATGTATTTAATTGTTTGGATTGCATTAACTAATATCCTATGAGGATACCTCACATCAATGATTTTTACTTAGGATACAACAAAGTGTATAAACTATAGGCCAACTATAATTGTTACGTATGAGTGTATTTATTTAAAAATTGAATATTAAAAGTGATTATTCATAGGTAAATTACGAAGGACCACCGCAAATTACATTGCGGAAAATAATAAGAAACTTGAAAACATGTACCTTTACAAACTCCAGTGCAGACGTAGGGGGAAGTGGGAAAGATGGCGTATTTGAACTTCAGATTAGTGTCGGCGCTGTGACGAACCCTTGGTAGTTGGATGTTGGATGAGACGATTTTCGCTCTTCTTTCTGCTTGAAGGCTTGATGTTCGCACGTAACGCTAAGTCTTTTATTGTTCGTGGCCACTTTAATTACACGGAAGTCGCGACACCGCACAGGACACTTTGATTACTTGATGGTGCATGATTCGTGAGTTAATAAAACGCAAATAAAAATACTACTTGTCACTAAAACAACAAAAAATAACTTCAGAATAAGATTGGGCAATATTAATTGCAATAAAAATGAAAACTGAAACAACTTGATGAAATAATGTAAATAGAAATGAGATTAAAAGAGGTGGCCGGTACTAGACCATATTAATAGGGCCGTGGACAGAGAGAGAATGACCAGGATACCTGTCTGAGGCGAACGACAAGCGATAAGGACAATGACATGAATAGAGCGATAAGATTGTTGTCTGAAGATAAAATGGACTTGGGTTCTGTGGCTTTGGCGTTTGGCATTACCATTTGTATTTAAAATAAAATAAATATTCTTCTTTTGAATTAATATAAAGTTAATAGTTCCTTTTTCCTTCTAAATACTAAACAATAATGATTTATAAAGCTACCAGTTTGAAAAATGAATAGCTTACATATGTTCGTAAGCAACCAAATGTGAAATGTCTTTTACAAGGTAGATGCTATCAACTTTTCAAGATTAGTTTTGCAAGACAATTTAAAAATTGAATGATGTCTGTTCATGACACAATACTTAATACTTTAATACATGGCTTTTATACACATTCACTACCAGGTGTCAGTAGACTACACAAAGGCCTACAGAGGAGAGTGAACTTGAACTAGTAATTGTTAGTTGGTTTACTGGTACTTGCACAATTGCCTAAATCTCACTTTACTTCATGATGCCTACCATAGGCACAATTCCATAGCAGCTACTTCTGATTGGGAGGCCTGCAGAACCAACAACAATACAAGCAGCACAAGCACAGGTAAAGGTAAGTTTCAAACCAGATAAACTGTAAAATTATTTTAAAATCATGTTTTTCATGTCCAGTAAATACTAATGAGTGAGTGATTAAATAGTTCTCATATTGGTAAAATTAAATCTGCTTTAATCTCTATAGGCTATTATAAACGCGCAGTAATATAAAATATAAAATCACCCAAGATATAAAAATGTTTGTTTTACCATTGTTGCACCATGACTCGTCGGTGATACGTTGGTGAGGTATGATGCGGCGGTCTGGACCATGCGCGGTCTCACATAAATTGTTTTACCTTGGTTGTTTATTAACCGATCTTTCAAAAATCTGTCAAAAACCGTTGGATTAGTCATAACATTTCCTGAAAACGTATACTCTTGATAGTTTTTGTATCATCACTGGTTTTAAACTTATTTACAAAATTTTTTAAATGGCTGTCATTTTGGATTGGTACAATTTTTATAAACCTGATACTAGACATAGACATAGACATACTGTCATTTTGGATTGGTACAATTTTTATAAACCTGATACTCTGTGCAAAGATTAGACTTACCTGTCACTACTTAGGTACCAAGTTTCAAGTCAATCGCAAGGAGTTCGAAAGTTGTGGATTCATTTTTGAAAATTACATACACACACATAGACAGAAAACCAGTCATCTTAGCAACTTAGACTCATTCTTATATGGTGTTTATTGCATTTTTTTAACGTAAGGAACAAATAAATACACAAAAGAGAGTTCCGGGACACCCTGTATACCAAACCGTTTGCAAGACGAAGGCGTCATGATGATGTGTACTTACGTCCCTTTCTTACAAGCGACATAATGGAATAAAACTTGTAGTAAATGATGTAGTTAGGATGACAAAAACCTAAAATTTTAATCAAAAAGGTATAAAAATGCGATATACTTGTACAAAAATATTTTTTTTTATTTTCAGCAAACCAACAACTCTCAAAAAACTATAAAATTGAAACAAAACGACTAATGGTAGATTTTAACAGATCTCTAAATATAGTTTATGATTGACCTTCAGTCCAAACAAATCAGACGTGAATATTCAAATAGAGATTTTTCAGTTGCCTTTAATGCCTATACTTGGCATTAACCTATTTTAGACGGTTTAATCACACTACTCTAAGTAAATGCAAATGTAAATACAATATGTGCATTTGTAACATATAATACATTAAGATATTCTTCAAAATATACTGAAGCAAATAATATATCTACAACTAAAGTCAGATCTATTTAAATGTCACTGCTACATCATTTGACGTTTTTGTATATCTTAAAGCCCTTTGACTTGTGTAAGCTAGTTGGACTCGGTCCCTAAAAAACGTATTTCACATACAATTAATTGTAAAATTTAGTTCAAGAATTTAACTTGGAAGAGCTTCTTGGATCTTAAAAACAATACATAAAATACTACAAATAAATCTTTTTATACCTAAACACGAGTATATAAATCTTACAACAAAATACTTGTTAGTGTTAGAATTTAATTATTGATATCAGTATGTCAGAAAATATTTGTCGGTATCATAGAAAATGTTACATGAACAGTCAATATAAATTACGTTTATGTCTTTTAACACTTAAATAAATAAGTTATTTCTAGTTTGAAAACAAATAACACCTTGCAAAATAAACTCTTATTATATATCAACAAATTACTGTATTAATTATAGGTAGTCATGGAAGAAAATATAGTTCAAGGCTTTTGGGAGGAACAAATTGGAAATCCCAATTAAGGCACTTCATTTACAACTATCACAGATATATGATAAAGAATACAGCTTGTGTCTTAAAAAACTAAATCCATACATTAGTATGAAATATAGTATGTACAGAACCATGAGGCACGGAATGTTTATATTAAACGGAATGTCTTACAAAACATAAAACATATAGCCTCTACGCTTTAAAATAATAGACTCAAGCAATCAATTTTATTTCTAAACTTAAAAATATTTTTAGGTATGTCAGTTTGATACAGATTTTTAAGATTTATAACAAAAACTGAGAGTGTGGACGGATTACAACAAAAATAGTCAAAAATTGTAGCAAAATATTTTTTGGCTAATATAAAAAAATGCAGTTTCGTCTTTAAGGTAATTTCAAGTGAAAATGTCAAATATAGTACGATAATGAGACAATCATTCTTAATCTTAGGAAGAATTAACATACCACATGTTAAACATCAAGAAAATCAATGGTTGGCAGAGTTGGAAGACGAAGTAAGAGTTTCAACAGGAAATGCACTTTCAAGCAATCACGTTCTGTATTCTACAGGCTGCTTCCTGCGACAACGCAGCTTCCCTCAACACCTGAAAAATTATAACAACATTTAAATGTAACGATAAACATGACATAAACCTAAACGTTAATGCATCAGTTGACTGGTTTGCAGTGTCGAGTTTCCTGGGTTTCCCATGCAGCCTACACTTTTCAAAGTGAGCACTCATCTCCATTAATACGGTAGGCTACTTGGCTTAAAATACCTACCTTTGTATGGTCGCCATTTCAGATTAAAGTATTAAAGTAAATTATAAAGTATGCTTTGACCATGAAAGCCTACCTCCTACTTTATTGTACTGTAGTTTGTTATTAAACACATAATGTGAGCCTTAAAAACATATCCATTCGATGTTATATACGGACTGATGGTTTGGAATTATTTTATTTTGAAGAGCGAGAGGGATTATACTGTGATTCTCTCCTCTGGATTGAATCGCTTTACCACAAGTTATGGGATTTTGCACTGCACACTGTATTGGCCAAGGAAAGATGTCTTATTGAAATTTCTGAGAAAATGTAATAAATTAGAATGTTCTAAACACATACCAAGAGGTGTGTGTCCATTTCCGCAAGTGATTGTTGTATCCAGTCAGGCTTGGTTCCTACGCGGGCCACCAGAGTGAGGTGAGAGACAGACAACACCAGACCCACCGTCCTCGCTTCGAGCAGTCTAGCGTCTAGAGGAGGGTACATGGCCCTTACCATGTCATCTGCTCTGATAGAGATCCTCCTAGCCACCTGTAATAGCAAATATCTTACCTAATATTTTGTTTCACAGATACCATGAAGTACTACCCACATACCAAATTTCTTCAAAATCAGACCACAGATGTAATTTTAGCTATGTACACAACCACACACACACACACAGAGATATCACTTAGAAAAATAACTTTTTGGGTTCTAGGGGACCCAAGGGTCAAGACAAATATTGCCACCCTAAACTCAAACTTAAACATTTTTACGAAAACAATATTTTTTCCATATAAAAGGGGGAGAAAGTAAAAAATCAGCAGCGCATTTTATCGACAAGGGAACTTTCCCTCGGAGGATTCACACCCTTCACATTTCCTGACTGCATCACCCACCTGTATTATATCCTGAAGTCTGTTCTGGTGTTCCGGATGAACCGCGACGTCTGCTACGTGGTTGACCAGCCGATGGCATATCTTGAGTATCGCCATGCAGTGAGACACCAGTCCCGTAGCGTCCCCCACCCATTCCTGCGCAAGGATGCTCTCTATGTGCGGATGCAGGCAGACCTCACCTAACTCTACGTCCGATTCCATTAAGCAGTCTTCAAATTGGCTACAACATGTTGATTATCATTACAGTACAATTAAATATGAAAGCATGATTAGCGTAGTTTAGAATAGAGTGGATCTGTGTATCTGTGAGTCTTAGTAAGATAAGCTGTTTTATTAGCCAGGACCATTTATTTAAAGCCCAATGGCCAAGGACAGCTGGGCTTAGTTTTAAATTGTCGAAAAGCTACTGACATTTCTCAGGATCGAATCGGCCAGTCAGCGACTTTCCGATTGTGAGTTAAGCAAGCACTATAACAACTGAACTTAAGCTATTTTATCATCAGTGAAGATATAGGGCCTACAAGGATTTTGAACTACGCCTATTGAGTTTGCAGTTAGAGGCCAAGTAGAAATTGCCCCAGATTGAACAAAGTCACACAAATGTACTTCGCTAAAAAACCTTATTAACAAACAACAACAACAAATTAAATGTGTTTTAATGTGGTCGACCCTCAAAATAAAAGCAATACAAACATCTCCAAGCTATTGGATAAGTGGAGTTAAAATCCATAGTGAATAAGAGGCTAGAATAAACTTAAAAATGTTGTGTAAAATTGTGGGTTGAGAAGCAACAATTTTAAATGTTAAGAAATGTAGTAGGCCTAGTTAAATTACAACATTTTTTTAAATTTTGTCTGGTGGATTAATCCAAGGGAGTATTTATTTCAATTTGGGTCTAGAAATAAACTTCATAGGCTACATCATATAAATTCACACTAGGCAACTTACCTTACATCAGACTTAGCAAGCTTTTTTACGTATCTTGAAGTTTTGTCTCTAATATTCTTATGTTGGCAGATCAAAACCAAACTTAGGAAAGCTCCAGTAAATATGACTCCAAGAATCACAATGGCTGCTGTGACGACTAGCTCCATGATCAGATTCAGATTATTTTCCTTTCAAAACTAGCAACAAACACAGAACTGACCAAATTCTGAAACACACCAGGGTAACAGCTTTAAAAATTTAGGTTAGTACAATTGTCATATTATCAAGTTAGGTATAAATTTTAATCTAGTCTAGATTTTAATTAGCAGAGTCTTGAGTGTCCATTTTTACTTTCTCCCCTTATAGGCCTAGGTATAATGGAGAAGGTATTGTTTACACAAATTTCTCAGGGTGGATTGGAGGGGGGTACCCCCGAACACCTCGGTTCACACATCCCCCCCCCCCTTGTGACTGTTTCAGATCCGCCACTGTCCCAAAATAAAAAATCGGATTTTAAAAGCTTCACCGATTTTGAACCAAATTTTTTATGGTATCACAACTTTAAGTTTAGTCCTTTTAATTCTATAAAAAATGCAAATGTTGTGATGATCCTTATAAAATGTAATTTTCCATACATCCACCGCTTAGGCTACCCATGATAAGGGTTGTTAGCTAATTGGAGAAAGTAAATTTATTATTAAATAAACGGTATTGCTGATACCGTTTATTTAATTAATTTATGAGACTTTCTTGAGGAAGATGAGATGAGATTAAAACGTAGTATGCTATTTATGTGTGGTATGACTGTAGGCTACATCGTAGCTGGTCCTCAGTAGGAACCTACTCAAGACAAGTTTTTTGGACATGTAAGTTAGGCTGGGGTACTTGTCTGCAATCTAACTTGCTCTCGATTTTATCGCGTGCAACTTATTATACTTCTTAAACTTTCAAAACTCTCTTAGCTACACCTCTTGTCTTAGTCGCAGCCCTTTGCAACAGCCAGATAATCGAAAAATTGACGCAAAATCTAGGGCTAGGCCTAAATTGTTAATGGAACTTGGTTGATAATATGGTAAACATATCCAACAAAATTACGTGTTGTCTTCGCCTAGGCATGGGTGTTTAGTAATGAATTGTCTGATAAGCAAAGGTACCTGTCTTAAGTAATAATGCAGGGTCTAATTGACAAAACCAAGCAGGCCTGGCCTAAATTAGTACAACAGTGACAAGAAAACTGTTTCTATAATAAACTAAAATATTTAAATGTAAAACATATAAATGATTATCGAAAGCTTGAAAATGCTTTAAGTTAAAACGTAGTAAATAAGTTAGGTATATTACCACACAAATTAATTTGATAATAAACAACTTAAAAAGACAACACAAAACAAAAACACAACAGACAGCCTGACTGAGACAGAGACATAACAAAACTCAAAGACATCCAATCCCAATGACAACGATTAACATTTCTCCACCGGCCCCTAAAATAAATGAATAATACAGACTAAAAGTATAATAACTATTGACTATTGATCTAAAGGTCGCCGTCAAGCCACCACGAAAACCCGTCATCGGCGCCTCCTCAGTGTTATGGTCAGAGGGGCGAATAACCCATCACCACAAAAATACAAAAGTAGTGGGTTACCTACCCTACCCATTCTAGGCACCACCACAACCACGGATGCCTTTAACTCCAGGCCGCGGCCTTCGAACTGGCAACGTCGCAAGTGGTATTGTAACAGCCTGTTTTGTTTGGAAGCAGCTAATGGTATTTGTGTACTGTATTTACGAAAGATTGGTTACTGGACTATGTCAATATTGACTCCCCTTAAAATTGTACAGAATAGATATAGATTTTTAATTCATATTGTTTCGGTTTTAGATTCTGTATGTTCTATTTTCAATACTTCAATAAATTTATGTTCATACATTTTTTATTTAAATCAATAAAGTGCAAATTAATGAACTGATGTCACCTGTCTGCCATGTTATCTTATGGGACGTCTGTCACTGAACAACACATCTTGCGACGTTGCCAATTCTACCAGGCCGCGGCCTGTAGCACAGCCACCTCTAATACACCTGTAGTTACCGCCACCAGCAGTTTAATCATGGTGGAAGGAAAAACATAGGTGTGCTATTCCCGTCATATTCTGACGTCACTCGGATTGCAAACAAAAGATCACCAGATTAACTGTCAAATGTAACTGTCAAATTAGTGTTTTGTTTTGGTTTGATTGTTATTGTTGGACTCCAAGTTCAAGTTCCAGGCTCGAGTTCCAATCCAAGTCCAACTAAGTCCAAGCCCAAGCCAAGAAGAGTGAAGTGAAGAGTCCAAGCTCCCTCCAATCCAAGCCTATATGCCAATAATAATTGTATTGTTCAAGAAATCATCAATGAAGTAGGAAGTAGGCTTATGAGGCCGGAGTTATTCACAACAACGATTCCCGAATTGTTGTGACTTTTGGCGGTGTGCTAATTTATAATCTAGCAATAGATTTCCCAGGTAGGCATAAACTTATCAATTCCCTTTGTGTTAAGACAAACTAACCTTAAACTAAACAAGAAAATAGCCTAGGCATATCCTTTACTAACTGACAAGGTGATTGATTGAGGTGATGCTACATAGGCTAATCCAACCAATTAAGTAAGTACCGGCAAAGCCGGGTTTACACTATGTAGCAAAACCTACTATGTAAATTTTGCTATAGCCTAGGCCTATAGCTTAACCTCACACACAACCTCATTCGCATTCCGTATCGAAAATCTCACGCCGAAGAGACATTGTTCGTGGCAGCTATCAGTGCTATCACAGTGATCTTAGGAAGTCTGAGACGGAAGTGAAGGTTTTAGCAAGTTTTAGGTTCAACCGCTTCTTGCTTTGAGAAAAAAGTACAGTGTAGCTGATTTACTACGGGACCTTAATGATGATGATCACGCTAACGATTCATAATTAAAACGCGAAATAAGGCAATTTGGTAGCTTCAAAAACGTTTTACGTATGACCACAACACCGGTTGTCCACGGAAAAGTTCAAATTGCCCACGGAACAGTTCAGATTGCATCCCGATCCTGCGCACTGTCCAGTCCTTCCATTGAAACAAAGATCGCTGAGCAACCAGGAGGCTACAACTGTGCACCGGTGACACTAAATGCTACATATAGCAGATGCTAGACAAAAAATATTTTTATAGGCTAACATTGCTACATGTAGCAATGTTAGATGTAGCATGTATTTCTGTTGATCTGTACCGACTCCCGGTGGATAGCACAATTTTTGCTATATATAGCAGGATCTGCTACATATAGCCTAGCAGTGTTATATAGCACTTTTAAAAAGTTACTTTTTCTACTTCTAGCAAATGCCATATAACATTGCTAGATGTTACACAAATCTGCTATAGCCTATAGCAGGTTTTGCTACATAGTGTAAACCTGGCTTAAGGCCTATTATAAGCTTTCCACAGTTTTTTGCACATTACAAATCAATCACTAACCCACTAAGTTATAGACTTGGGGTTTAGTTTATGAGCCTACCTCAAGCTTAACGTAATAAAACAGAGAATGGATTTTATATTCTTTAAATAAGTATACTTAAGGCCTAGCTAGACCTATATTAACTTATACTAGTCATGTTATAGCAATGGGTTCGGCTGCAGTTCCAAGCGTACAATAAGTTATAGGCCTAAGTATATGAAACTTATTGTTCGGTTTGATAGCCTATTTAGATTAACTTAACTTAGTCTATATTTTTCTATTAGGCTATAAACATTGATTTCAAAATTGGTTTGTTTACGTTTTAATGAATGTATAGGCTAACTATAAATAAGTAAAAACAAAAACACAATTTGTTGTATAAAAATTAAGTTAACAAAAAACAATTACTAAAACGTAAATTAAATTATAACTTAGTTAGATGAAAATATAAAGAAATATATACCTACTTAATAAACCTACTTAATTAACGTTGTTCTGATGCTTCGATTTTGAGGATTTTTTGCATCTAAAAATTTAGCTGGTTTTCAGCTATTATTCTGTTCTTCATCTTGTCTCCACATATTCGCATTTTGCACTGTCGATGCGATACTCCCTGGTGTGGATTAATGTCCGCACCAGTGAGTACTACGACTATCCGCAGTACTATCCTGAAAATTAGACCAATTCGTATATACCAAGGCAAAAATATGGTTCGGATTCCACTATAAACTGTAGGGTCCCTTAGTTGCCATTAGCTGTATTGGCTATTAATTAACAGCTGTGTCTAAGGAATAAGTCGGCCTTAGTCACTAACAAGACTACAAGATCGCACCAGTCATCCTACACTCATCTCCATTCATAATTGGCTTAAAATACCTACTTTGTATGGTCGCCATTTCATTAAAAAAGTATTAACAGTTACTGTAGCTTGTTTTGGAATCAAACATTTTTCTGGTATTTATTCCGTATAGGTGCCTCCAAACGAATTGTTAATTTTGATATCTTACTTTATAGTTTTTTACCTCCTGAATCCAAATATACCATTATTTTTCACCGCTGATAAATATTTCTCAAGATATCGCCGTAAAACATGCTTAACATTACAATAAACAAGATAGGATGGATAACATTTCAAGTGATTCTGTAGTCAAATAACTTAATGTTCTCTATAATAGGAATTTCGTCACATTATGGAGATATAGATGGACTGGTGGACTAATTACTTGTAGTTCTTATTTAGGCATGTCAGGGTGGTAGGTCGTGCTGTATGTGAATTGGTAATGGATTAAGTGTTTTGAAGTTAGGTTAGATTAGGAAGGTAAAGTTTAGGTTATAATGTATCGAGTTGTTAGTTTATGTTGCCTGCAGACTGTTTTTGTAAAATTAAAATCCTGAGAAAAACACTTGCTTGCATTTTTGAAATAGTAATTTGAAGTGTTTTTTCTGGATTTTAATTTTACAAAAATAGTCTGCAGGTAGCATAAACTAACAACTTGATACATTATAACCTAAACTTTAACTTACCTAATCTAACCTACCTTCAAAGGACTTAATGCAGTCACCAATTCACATAAAGCACGACCTATCACCCTGACATACCTTTTCTGACATCAAAAGGAGTTTGCTTACACATTCTAGAGGTTTGGTTAGGTTAGGTTATGTTAGAATAGCACCATTTTAGTATGTAATTTCTAAACGGCGAAATATAAGTAAATCAATAAATCATTAATAAGGATAAAATACCCATAGTACATTCCACTTTTAAATGGCATCCATCCTACCTTGTTTATTGTAATGTTGTATATTATTACGGCGATATCTTGAGAAATATTCATCAGCTAGCTGTGAAAAATAATGGTATATTTGGATTCAGGAGGTAAAAAACTATAAAGTAAGATATCAAAATTAAAAATTCGTTTGGAGGCACCTATACGGAATAATTACCATTTTTCTTTGAAAATCAACAAAATTTACAAAAGTGATGATAGCCTATTGTTAGCACACAAATAAGTTTAACTTAAGTTATCTAAAATTCACAGTTTCTTCCGTTTTTAAGCTAAGTTAGTATTTTTTCCGTGGAAACAAGGGATATAACGGTGTTGTTTTTGTTTATATCAAATGGTACAATCAAAATCGTTAAGATATTATTATAGATGATAAGTTGTATTTCGGTATGTATCGTTATTCATCCGATAATATATCGTAAGCTCTAGGCCTATACAGAACTGCAGCCATGGGTTCCGTTAATTTACATTCAAAGCAGGATGAGCCAATGGTAACAGCTTTAGCCGCACAACCAAAGCCGCTGTTGTCGTTGCTTAGGATGCTACCTTAAGCTAGCCAATGACAGCCGCCATTTATTTTCTTCCGTCTTTTTTCACTAGCTATTTTTATAGAGGTACCCCAATAACATTGTTTACTGGGTAATTATGCAGGAGAGGTTAAGTGTATGCCTAGGTTATAGTAAACCAAGTTGTTGATTTATATCACGTCCAGACTGTTTTTGTGTTATTCAAACAGTGGGTGAAACACAAAAAAATAAATACTTCAAAAACGCTTGCATCGGAGAGATCTTTACACCATGTAATATTCAGCTAAACATCTAGTTTCTGGTGATAGCCTATAGGCCTAAATCAATATAGGTAATGAACTTGGTCACATTATTTTAAATTATTAAGTAACTCAATTTTACTAAGAACAAAAAAAATCTGAAACACCTTTTGAATGTCAATCTTGGGCCTTTTGTTTTTATTATAGGGGAGTAGCCTAATTTGTTACAAGAACAGAACACTGACGTGTGTTATTTCCTCCATCGGTAGCACTGCTTGATGAGTTTCATCTACGGTAGCTACCACATTGCATCTATGCTTTGTAATGGGCGAGTTCTGTATCCATCCTGTACTCATGCGCTTTTCTACAAAAGGTAGGCCACTAATTCAAATAGAAAAGAGTATCAAAATGGTGTTATTCAAATTTCCTGCCTATTGCAACTTATAATACAAAATGCTTTAACGATTTTGGGTTTTGTTCTAGGGTTACTAAAATGTGGCCATGTGTCTCATAGTTTTAGACTGCAGCACCTAAAGCAAGTGCAATAAAATTCTATAAACTGCAAGATGAGTAACAGAAAAGTAAATTACTTCTACGATCACGATGTTGGGAACTTTCACTATGGACCTGGACATCCGATGAAACCACATAGACTGTCAGTGATTCACAGTTTAGTCATGAACTATGGCTTGCACAAAAAAATGGAGATTTACCGACCTTACCGAGCAACTTCCTTAGACATGTGTCGCTTTCATTCGGAAGACTACATAGAGTTCTTGCAAAGAGTAACGCCACAGAATCTACAAGGGTATACCAAGTTCCTTACTCAGTGTAATGTGGGGGACGATTGCCCATTGTTTGACGGACTCTTTGACTTTTGCTCTATGTACACTGGTGCGTCTCTGCAAGGTGCGACAAAGTTGAATCATAATTCTTGCGACATCGCAATTAATTGGTCAGGTGGGTTGCATCATGCAAAAAAATTTGAAGCGTCAGGGTTTTGTTATGTGAATGACATAGTAATCGCTATTCTTGAACTTTTGAAGTATCACGCTCGAGTGCTGTATATTGATATTGACGTGCATCACGGTGACGGCGTGCAAGAGGCGTTTTACCTCACTGACCGAGTAATGACAGTTTCATTTCATAAGTTTGGGAATTTCTTTTTCCCCGGGACAGGGGACATGTACGAAATCGGAGCAGAGAATGGTAGGTATTATTCCCTCAATGTTCCGCTGAAGGAAGGTATAGACGACACAAGCTACTACCAAGTATTCCAGCCAGTAATACAGTATGTGATGGACTTCTATCGTCCGACAGCTATTGTGTTACAGTGTGGTGCAGACTCACTGGCTGGAGACAGGCTAGGTTGTTTTTGTTTGAGCACCAAAGGACATGGTGAGTGTGTGAAATTTGTCAGAGATTTGAACGTACCTTTGCTGGCCGTTGGGGGAGGGGGTTACACGTTGCGTAATGTCGCACGTTGTTGGACTTATGAGACCTCCTTATTGGTTGATGAACCGATCAGTAACGAGTTACCTTATACAGAATACCTCGAATACTTCGCTCCCGATTTTACTCTTCATCCCGACATCGTGACAAGACAAGACAACGCTAACAGTAAGCAGTACTTGGAAACGATCGTGAAAAACGTGTACGACAACTTGAAGTTGTTACAGAATTCACCGAGTGTTCAGATGCAAGACGTTCCTGGTGATGCTTTCCCAGACATGGCCAACAATAATGTTGATGACAAAGATCCAGATGTGAGAATAACGAAGGAAGAAGAAGAAGCTAAAATCGAGCCTGTAAATGAGTTTTATAATGGTGATAAAGATCAAGATGGTGAAGAGGTATCGACTACGTAGTCCAACACTGGTGGAAAAGCTGCTGAGAAAAATCTGCCTCTAAAAACAAAAGTGTAAAACAGTAAAATGAAACAGTAGAAAAACTGTTAAGTGGTACATAATCATGTAAAGACTGAATTACAATAGGTACTGTTCTAGGTACTTTAGTAACAAGGTTATGTCTGCCCTCCTCTTGGTTAGTGTTTGCAAATAATAATGATGACAACATAAATGCTTAGACACAAAAAGTACTATACCTTTTTGTAAAGCTTCTTTTTATATTACTATACATAAGAGAACAGAGAGGAAGATGCTGGGTGTTTAAGCTATTCCTTATTTATGTATTATATGGTATTATTAATCACATTTGAATGTTGTACTTTATGTACTCAAAAGTTAATTTTTATACAAAACGTTATTACTTACAACCAAGATTTTACATTATTATGTATATATTTGTATAATTTTTATTTTATCATACGATCAATGCAGTTATTATCACCAACTTTATATGTTTTTATTGTGTTTTTGTTTTAATTATGTTAATATTTTTTATTAGGCTAGATGTATACTATAGGAATATTTATATTTTATTGGTAACTTTCTATTTATCAATGGAAATGTTTACAAATTATAATAACTAGGCCTATGCTATCATATTTATTTTTTGTTTTTACACCGAATGGTTCTGGATCAGCCTCAGAAAAAATCACAGTTTTTATAAGAAACATTGTACAGTAATCTTAATGTAATCTTATAATCAAAGTAGACTACAAAACTACAATCTTTTAGGTTTATTTATTAGGTTTATTTATAAACTATTTGTTAAGTTATAGACAATTTTTAAATTTATTTACATGCTTTTAGCGAATTTCCCATATAGGGAACAAGCTATTCCCGTTGGACTCATGGTAAGAGCTGGCCTGAGCCGATTTCATTTTTTGTTTTGATATTGGCCCAGAGGCCAAAAAACACCATCTGTTCAAATTCATATATATAATTGTGTCCATTAGCACGATAACTGAATAAAAATTGATCAAGTTTACAAATGTGTAAACCTACGTTTATTCTAACAAGTTCGCTAACCAGCATGATCGGACCATGGGAACGTAATATGGGGAAAAAATAGGGGGGTTTTCAATTTTTTACCCTCAAAACATAAGATTTCCCAATTTCTCTCTTAACCATTATCAAGAGCTTTAAAAAAGAAAGAATTTTGTATATTAAAGTGAGTTTGTGCAGTCAATGGTTACGGAGAAAATTCCAAAAAAGAGTTAAGATGTTATTATTATGGTAGACTGTTGTAATTTGCTTGTTTATGGATATATTTTGATCAAACTTGGCAAATCTATTTAATTTATACTAAGCTATTGATTTACAAAAAAAAAAAACACTTTTTTACCCTCCCTGTAACAGCAAACCTAGACGTACTCGTTAATCCTAATGTTATTAAAATAGATTTTATTGAAAATCAAATCAGACAAATGGAAATTCACTTAGTCTGCAGGTTAGCTGCAGCGGGGTTTTAAACTTAGATAAGAGTATAAATAGTATAAATGTTTAGGCCTGGTGGCCTTAATCGCTCATAATTGTTTAGTTCGCTGGGCAACATTTCAAGAGATTGTCATATGCAACCTATTAACTATTTTTGTCTAGATCACAAAATAGCATTACCCTTTTCTGTTAAGCAATCTCAAAATTTCAAAAAAATTTACTATATTGATTTACAACTTAACAATACAGATTGGGAGGTTAAATATAAAATACTTGTATTATCAAAGACACGTTATATTCTGTATTTACAATCTACAAGCCTTAAAAATGAATAGCATAACATTTTTGATTCAGTACAATAAGGCCTAATTAGGTTTAAAATAAGCTGGTACTGCAACTTAGCAAATAATCATAAACTACTATCAGAGTTTAGAATGTTGTTTTTTTTTTCATAATTTGGTATTCTTGAAATTTGGCATTGTGTATGAGAGGTTGTTATTAACTTAAACTTAGGGTTATTTAATTATATCAATAAGATTAAACAATATGGATTAAGATATTTGCACATAATACATTTTGGAAGATTCAAATAAAAACTCATGTGAAGCTTTGCAATTTAACTTATTACAAGTATAGAAGCATGAACGAGGTTAGTAATGTGTTTTTTTCTCAGCTATCTGTAATTAAAAAAAAAAATGTTCCTATTTTAATAAAGGTAACTATCAACAAACAGACAATATCAAGAAACCAACCACACTAAGTTTGTTTACTTTTTGATAACCATCAGGCTGCGATGACACCTTGTGCTTTAGAAATACTTTTGTATTTTAAATACCTCGTTCATGCTCTATGCTTTGTGTATAGCCTATGCTAGATGTACATAACATTTTTAACTGTACGAATTTGTGTATTTATCAGTAAAAAAAATATCAGTTTGGACTGTAAAACCGTATGTATATATTTATCATTAAAATTAAATATATTTTTGTCAAACTATGTATTTATTTATTTTTCAAACCTTAAACACATTCCTTATTAAAAATAGTTTAATACAACATATTTTGTCACCAAGTTTCAGTTAGTTACTATTACAAGGCACTAATCTCTCCAATGGGGAAAGGAGGGTAAAAAACAAAATCAAATTTAATAAGCTTTGAAAACCTTGAAACAGTTGGATTGCAGGTAAAGTTTTAGAGCAAAATTTAACCTGTAGGTAAGTGATAATAAAATAATACACATAAGGTTTAAAAATAAAGGACCCAGTTTGATTTTATATTGTAGTGAAATAAGTGTTTTAATAGACTCCAATTAAAACGTAGCCCACTGATTAACAGTAAACTGTTTTAAAAATTTGTTTTATCGGCCAAAAGTATAAAAACCTAGAAAAAATGTAATTACTGAAATTTGTTGTGTCTGAAACTAGGCGATACCTAAATATTTTGAAAGAAGGTGAAATGAATGTCTATCAGTTAGTCTCTTAGTCAAGCCGATCCCTTTAACCAGTAAAAAATCACAGTGCACACAATATTATCTTCTTATTTTGATAAAGCCAATTTCAATTTCCATTTTCTGTAGATCACTTAGGCCAATCTACCTTAGAAATCACATATACATAAAAAATAAATATTGTGATGCAATTTACAAAACTCGCATGTTACACCATATTACAGTTCCATCCCGCACAAGATTGTGGCTCGTGTTCGGAACTTCCGCCCGTAACTGAGATGGCCTTGTTGCTAGGGTTCGTCTCCCAAAGTCCCGGTGTTTGGATGATCTGAAACAAAATGTTTATTTATTCATAAAATCAAAAGTAATACCTTTTTGACCACCCTGGCTTTAAAGCTACACAAGGTGCATTCAGTGGCGGATCTAGAACAGTCACAAGAGGGGGGAGACATCCCAAAAATTTTTTGTAAACTACGTCTCCAAAATGGCAGTTTTATACAATTTCATTGTCCAAAGTTAATGTGACAAATTATTTTACGCAATGTATGCACTTAGTAAAAAAAATATATATATGTGTAGGCTATGCTCGAGAGGGAGGGGCAGTCGCCCCCTTCGCTCCCCCCCCCACTGTATCCACCTCTGGGCGCATTGAGTAATATAAAAAAAATCACTACAAATTAATGAACCCCATTCCTATCCGTTCCTGCCTCTACTACTACGGTGGGGGGTTAGCAGTGGTGGGTTGGTGGGAGGACACACATACATTTTTTGGGGGGATACAGAAGGAAGGTTAAAATAAAAATTTGAGTTATTTAAACGTTGGTTTAGGCCAAATTTGTTCATATAAACTGTTTTATTCATACTGTAAATGGATTTCACTGTGTCTTTGTTTATCACTCCTCACCTAGCTCATACCTCTCATACGTTGGATAAATATGTGAAACAGAATTCATAATTCATTAGCATCCCCGAACAATACTTCTAGAGAAACAATAGTATGCTAGTCAATTAAATAGCACCTCCAATACCGGCGGATGAACATAGCCTATACGAGTCACTAAATATACTGCATTCACTTATTTGACAGATTTTCTGTGTTGACGATGCGTCCATTATCAACCATGCAGGAATAAATATCATATTAATGTTTATTATTACTATTGTCTAGAAAATGGGAGGACTCCGTCCCAGAGTCCTTATGAACCAACCTTCACTGGGGATTAGTGTACAATGTAACCTTGAATTTTGTTGATTAAGGACAGAGGATTGAAAATATAACCTAATCGATCCCAATTGCCGCAGCAAGCTGTAAAAGGGGTAGCCTCAAATAAAAAAAAAAAAAATTAATTACCTTTTGGACAAGTTCTTCAAAACAACACTGGACTCCGTCTTTGGTTTTGACGCTGGACTCTATGAACAACGTGGCATGCCTCTTGGCAAACCTCATACCGTCCTCCCTCGACACTTCTCTGTTGCTCTGGAAAAGATCACAAATGTTTACAATAAACAAGATAGTGTACCGGTACTTAATTTTAGTTCATTACTTTTTTTAACAGTTTCAAATCAAATACAGAACAGTTTAATGACATTAACAGCACTGAGAAATAACTCGGATGTGTTCCTATAGTCTCAGATTATCAGCTGACTGTTTATCTAATATATCAAAAAACAGCTGTTTCCAGTTGGGCTGTATAACAATAGTTTTAAGTTGAACTAGCAGCCTGTGTCACTTCCTGACTTCAAAATCCTGGAATATTTGATATATAGTTGATCTTGATAAGGGAGAAAACGATTATTTCTCATATCCCTATTATTTGCTTTGCGTTCGCGATCTCTTCGAGGCATCTAAGTAAAATTGCAAATGCTAATGAAACATACTATGAAACCACAAAATCTCTTCTTTACATTTTAAACATAACAATATTTTGCTTAAATTCCCTAAAACATCAATAAAACATATTGAACATAATGAAACCACAAAATCCAACGTAAGTCAATTTCTTCTTTACATTTTATACAAATAGCATTACAATATTTTACTTTAAAGCAAGGAGCTACCTAGTTCAACGGATTGCTATGGCCTTTCAAAAAGGAAATGTCGCCAGCGTCATTGGATCCTCACCCGCAGACAACAATCTTTCATCAATATTTTATTTGTAAAATTATTGTAAAAATGTTTATACTAGCAATAAATTATTTTTCAACACCAAAAAAATATTTTTCATTAATTCACTGAAACCTCACCAACTACAGATAACCCCATTGTTGTATGCATGTAAACAAAATTGTATTATGGCCATCTGTTTTTATGTAAACAAATATGTAAACTTGAAACAGTTCAGATTAATGACAACAGAATTCAGCACAAACTCTGAAATTGTAAAAAGCCTGTAGGACGAAGGGCTTTCACGATATATCATCCAAAACCGCAAAAGGCGCATCTAGAGGGCTTTAGATTGATGCCCAATACCTATGAAAATAAATATTTAGAGGTTGATTTGCTGCACACAAAAATCCAACAAATTCTTTTAATAATATATATTGAAATATTACAATGATCTGGGAAAGCTGAGGAAGCAGGGACTACCTACTATTGCTTTATGGTCGAGGTCGACTATAGATTATTTTATTTAATCATGCCCCAAGCGATGATTAATATATGGAAATTGAAGCTTAAAAATAATTTTGTTTAGTTTTGAAACATAGTAGGCCCTACTAATTATGCACATACTTATCAATTGCTTTTTTCAAATATTAGTTTTGGAATTTTGTAATTGAAGCATAGGTAACTACTATCAAATTGTAATTTTCATTGTACATAACCACTTTCACAGAGGGCTACACATGGTTCCACTGGCAGTTCAGTGGTTCCGCAAACTCATCACTGTCAGTCTTCATTTTTGTGTTAATTTTATTTACTTTTAAAACATAGCACTAATCAACGGGTCTGACTTAGGGGAGGTACGAATGAGGCATTTAGTTCAAAATTCCTCCGCGAACAGCGCTGTAGTAGAGAGCACTTTGTCAATGAAGGTTTACTATTCGCAAAAATAGTTCTGTTCATAAAATAAAATTATAAATGCCTCAAATTCAATTTTATAATTTTTTAATTATAAAATTAAACTATCATAACCTAACCAAACTAACCAAACTTGCTGATAATTAAATCATATAAATAAAAAAGATTAGTAATAGTAAAAATAATTATGTTTATTAAATAAAACTAGAAATTGCTCAATTAAAATTTTATAATGACTTAATAATAAAATTAAACTGTCATAACCGAACCAAACCAACCAAACTTGCTGATAATGAAAAAATCTGAGACAAAAAGTTAATGCAACCAGCGAGATTCGAACCCGGGACATTTGCACGCCGGCCCGGCACGCTAACCACTAGACCACCGAAGCCGTTGTCCACAAATCGTATTGTTACGGTAATAGCGTTCCCTCAGCTAATAAGAAGCCCACAGCTGTCATCGTAGCCTCTTCCGTACCTCCCCTGAGTAAATACCCTAATCAACTGCATACTTACCAAATAAATGCTTTCATTTTTTAGATTCTACATTTGAACTTTTTGTAGTTTGAGCATAGTTTCTATTAAATTTTGATTTTTGTCATACATATATACTTTACAATATGGTGAAACACATTTGTATTCTTTTTTTCTAAGATTTAAAAAATATTAAATTTTTGTAACTCTTTATAACGTCATAAATGATAAATCAGATACAAAGTGTATTATTTCATTTACACAGAATAGCAACTAACATAAACAATAACAATTCAAAGAATAAAGATCATATTATCAGCTGGTAATTAAAATGCAGTCTATTAGAAATTATAACAATAATCAATGAATTGTTTGGAAGATTTAAATATCTGACGTATAAAAACTCCCATTTTTGAGGCTTAGTCATGTCCATCGTAATGTATGAAAGTTGAAGTTTAAAAACAATTTTTTGTAGTTTTGAAACATGGCACTAACTATCCGCATAATAATTACTCATTGAATTCTTCCTTTTTGTTTTTAATATTCCTATTTAAATACTTTTATAAATTTTATATAAATAATCATACAAATTAATATAATAGTATCTAAATATAAATAAATAAATATATATTTATACCTATATGTAGGCCTATATATAAAGCAAAATTCTTCGCAATTTGCAACTAGTGTTTTTTTCCCGGATTGAGTAACTTAGTACATAAATAATTTTTCTAAGAAACTGAACTTAATAAATTTAACTTAAGCTTTATATAAATCTAGCTTAAAGTGAAATACGGTAATACAGTGGAACCTTGATAAGAAGACCCTCGATAACAATTCGCCCTTGATAACAAGTGTCATTTTCAAATCCCCTTAAAATTATTTTACACCTAATCACAAACCTCGATAAGAAGTCAACCTTGATAACAAGTCTTATTTTACAATCCCCATGAGAGTCTTGTTATCAAGGTTCTACTGTAATAACTCGTCAAGATGATTTTAATCATAATATCATAATATTATTAAGGATTACACACACTGAAAAAATATAAATTTTGGTTCAATTGCTTTGAAAACTCCATAAGTTATCCCCAATCACATTTTTACACAATTGTTAGGAGAATTTTACAATTTAAATTACGTAGGTAATAAGTTTAACAACCTAAAAACTACTTGTATTTCCATTTAACCAATTTAAATGTCAATGGTTCTAAGCCAACAAATAAAATAACTGTTCATAAACAAATAAATATTAATCATAGGATTAACTTACTCTGTCAATTTTATTGCCGACCAACATTTTGACGATGTTACTCTTGGTCGAATACGTATCCAGTTCATTCAGCCACATCTCCAGCTTATTGAACGTGTTTTTGTCGGTAACATCGTAAACGAGGATGGCTCCTTGAGCATCGCGGTAGTAGCTTGGCGTAAGCGTTCGAAACCTTTCTTGGCCTGCTGTGTCCTAAAGGAATAACAAACCAATTTAATTTTTGATACTTAAAATAATAGAATACCAGTACTGTGAACTACCATTAAAACATATAAATTTAATTTATGAGTCCATATACTTTTTTTTACAAGGTTTATTTTGATAAAGATAATTTTTCAATGTTTTGGATGATTATGCTTCCTTGAATACAGGTTCACAGTAGGGTGTATTTTAAACTAGAAATAAATACTTGTTATAGACATTTTTAACTTTATGTTTAGAGAAAGGAGAAATCAAATAAGTTTCACATGTAACTTGCCTGAAATAAAAATAAAGACTACAGAAAGACACATTTGTGCATAAAGACAATGGTTATAACTAGTGCACCCACTTACCCAAATAGCTAATTTAACTGTGTTTCCATCAATAGTTAATTTTGTAGTTTTGAAATCGACACCAATCGTTGTTGATTGATCAGGGTCGAATCTATCTTCTATAAACCGCAGTAGTAGACTAAAACAAATTAAAAAATCATAAATTTATTTAAATGTTTATACCTACTTTACAATAGGAACGAACATAAAAATAATTTAATATGCTGTGTTAGTGCACAGAGAAGTAAATTACAGAGGAAACACGCTTATGGGACAACCGTTTGTATTCAGCCCTAGTATGTTGTGTCGGAAATAGGCTAAGTTGTGATTAGCAAGGAAGAGCTCAGCAGCGGAAGATTCAGAACGGAACTCTTGTTTGCGACTGCTAGAGAGTGTTTCAGTCAAAATAGGCTGAAACTTAATGAAGAAAAGACACAGAAACTGATCTGCTCCCTGAAACCATCGCTGGAGCAGGTGTTGAGAAATGTGTCACTGCTTGGATTTATTCTAGATTCTAAGTTAACCTGGGGAGACCACATTGATAACATCTGCAAGAGATTAGCGAGGGTCGCCTTCCTGCTCCAGAAATTCACCAAACTGGTCCCCAAATCCTACCTGGTATAGTTCGGTCGCTTAGAAAGCGACCTCCTCTAGCAATGGTTAGAATTAGCGCGCAGGTCGCTTTCTAAGCGACCGAACTATAGTGAAATGTTAGTCTATGCCTTGTTCAATAACCACGTCTTGTATGGTCTACAGCTTTGGGCCATGCACCTGCCTGCCTCAAAATCCTACGGCAGCAAAAGAAGGATTTGCGATGGATGGAGTGGTCAACTTTGTCAAATGCCTTGTCAAAATCAATAAAGGCAACATCAAGCTGTTTACCTGATCCTAAAGGCCTAGCAGATGACATGCTTTCCTCGAATATCATCAGGTTGGTTACGGTTGATCTAGAGGAGGTAAAACCATGTTGACTGGGACTTATTAGCAGGTTTAGAAAGGGTTTAAGGGGAGAGAGCACTAATATTTCAAACACCTTCTCCACTGATAAAAGGATGGTGATAGGTCTATAGTTCTCGACTTTTGATGGATCACCTCCTTTTAGAATCGGAACAATATAAAACAAAATAAATTTAAATGTATTTAAAAATTATATGGACACACCCTATCCAGTGCAAACTGGTCTCAGGCAAAGAAGGAGGAAGGTGATTTCATTCAGCTATTCAGGGACCTTAGAGCCTACCGGTACCTACTCTAAACAAAATTGAAGATTACCAAAATCCAGCAACACTCCACTACATACAGGGCCACGTTTCTTCAACCTACTTCCAGAACATCTCAAATCCCCAAACGACAACAGTAAATTAAAACAGTACGGTGCATATTTGACCGTTCTCTGAATTCATAAAAGAACACAACTTTCAACATCGAAACTTAGGTAGCCTAACACACAACTACACAAAGCCTACGATAAACATAACAAAAATCACTCTACTGCCAAGGAGTGAAGAAACTTGAAGAAGATGACGACTCTCCTATTCCTTGGATAGTGGCAAGGACTTCAGACGGTAACTTAAATGGTAAATGACAAGGATGGAGAAGGACCCATATCTGGTCAATTCTATAAATTAAGATGCATCCTCCAATAAGTGACAGCAGTAGGAAGGTTAGCTAACCAAACTAGGCCTAGCCTAAGTTACTTTGACAAGGTAGGCCTAATAACCAACAACCCAATAAGAAGGTGGGCTCAGTACAATATATGGAACCATAGCCTAGTCACCCAAATACTTACCTAAACAGGATATGAACCTAGAGTGTTAGCCTAAGTTGACAATGGACTGTATAAACCAGTAGCCTAATAGGCGTATGCTTGATACAGTTCTTTATTCCTGAAATACACCTATTTGTAAAAATTACTTACCTTGACTTGCCAACACCACTTTCACCAATGATAAGAAGTTTTAGAGTAGTAAGCACATCCTCTTCTAGTTTAAAAGATGACATTTTAACGTTGGACTAGTACAATGTTATTTGTAAACACAGAACTTACAAAATGGTTTCAAATCTTTTTATGGAATAAATAAAACATACGATACAAAAACTTGGCTGCTATATTTAGCTATAATATTTTCTTTTTAGTTATTTGCAATTTGCAATAGGTCTTTTAAGGTTTTATCACTGAGCACAACTGTTTGCTGCAAATAAGATTGACAATGACATGAATGGATGATGACATTTGACAATTTGTTTTATCGGCTGTCGTATTAGTATTGCGTCTTTCTCTTTTACGTCTGCTTCAGCATATCAGCACCATCAGCACCAGCAGTAGACCAACGAAGAAGAGACAGACCAAAGACCAACAGACAAGGCGATGTTTGCGCAAGAACTAGGTTCTCTATGGACGCGATTGCAATCTTTTTTACAGTACAACCACAACCATCACTGAGCTATAGCTCAGTGACAACCATAGATAAAACATACTCCTCAAGGAGTATGTTTTATCTATGGTACGACGAAGTACTAAACGAGCACTATTATGTGCTCGTTGGTGCTGTAGGAATTACAATTTATTCGATGCTCTTTGATTTGGAGCTATTACTTTAGAATTCTATAAACAAATACTATACAGAGTAAAAGTTTCATAACAGCATATTTAACGAGTTTTATATTTAATTAATGAAATATCTTAAATATACAGGAAATAAAAATCATAGTTCTTTGAATGACCAGACACGGTCACATGTTTCAATATAGATTTGGAGTATGATTAAATTCAATTGGGCCAGGGGAGCACAAAAAACTTGATAAAAAAAAGATTGTGAAGGGTCAAACAAAAATAAATGTTCGTAGTACAAATATAAATTTAAAGAAATAGGTGGACTTTTAAGGTCTGGTATTATGTTAAAATCAAACCTTTGGAATTTTAAATATAGCCTAAGTTTAAATTTTTGAATGGGTTATACATTTAAGATTATGTTTTCATAACTAAAGTCAAAGGCTAAAAAAGTCTAAATGTTTAAATGTCGAGCCGATCACTGAGCTATAATTCTAACTGGAGGTAGCACTGAATGTCAAAGATGCGTGTCGCCAGCCGCCATGTTTGCGTGAGGTGGGTGTCCATAAGAAGCCATATTATTGCTATAACTATTATTATACTTGGCTTAAAATACCTACTTTGTATGTTCGCCATTTCAAAGAAAATTATTAAAGTATTAAAAGTATTCAAGTATGACAAAAATACTCACTGCTATACCAACCTAGTTATAAGAAGCCATGTTATTGCTATGGTAATAAAACTTACTGCTATACCAACCTAACAAAATCAGCGACTCGCTTTTGACAGACTTCTGCCATGGCAGTGCTACCTCCAGTTATAATTTTAGCTCAGTGGAGCCGATCGAATGGCCAATTTGAAAGCCTTTGCGGCTGGAGCGGAGCCTGAAAACCCATCCAGCATATTTCTGCACGTGAAAATTTTATTTTCTTATAAATTTTTGGTATGTATTGTCAAGTTGTGGATAATTTTGGTTCGATTTAAGTTATAGGTTAATTATTGGAAGTATTTTTCATTATGTTTTCCCCAATTAACTTAAATAATATCAAATTTGCACGTCTACAGAACAAAGGTAGTTGATCCCTTTTTTGGTCAATATTGGTTTCGCATAAATCCCTGTAGGCCCTAATAGTTTTAACATAAAATATCATATCATTGAACAAAGGTTTATTAAAAGGCCATACCCTACTTTACATTAAGAATGGTTCTAGATTGGCATTAGGTATTTTGCAAAATAAATGTAATAAGGGTGGGATAACCTAAATTTTCTAAGTGTATAACTTAACTTATAGCCCAAGTAATTGAGTAAGCCAGTATGATTTAATTCATTTGGGCTAGGGGAGCACAAAAAACTTGATTATAAAAAATGATTACATGTATGGTATAATAAGTTAACTTAGGCTGATTATATTTAGCTATTGTAAGTTTAGCCTATATTTTAAGTTTCACACACATCTTTTCCAGTTGAATCATAATCATGCCTTCTGACGCCAAGAAAAAACAAGCTCAAAAGAAGAAAGATGCAGCAAAGGCCCGCCAAAGTGGGAAGAAACCTGTTGGCACTAAAGCCGAAAACGGTGATAGGGAAACAAGTCCCAGCGAGGTCAACGGAACTCAAGAAAATGGATCTGTTGAAATAAGTGCAGAAGGTAGGCGCCCTTATTAATTTAGCCTTCTCAACTAGATTTATATCTTTGTACCTAAATACTTAATTTATACATAAATAAACGGTATCAGCATTCTGACACATACTTTCTCCCATAAGTTTGCCAACAACCTTTATCATGTGTAAGTGGTGAGAGTAAAAATACAGAAATGGGATTTGTACAATTTGTTTCAGAATTTAAAGGACTAAGTTATAACACAGGCCTACCTACTAAATTTTTATCAAAATTGTTCTGGCCATTTTTGGGAAATCCTAACCTACCTACACTATTAGTGGTAGTAAATTAACTTAAGTGGTAGTGAATCACCAAAAAAACAATATAGGCTACGATTCATTAGAAGCATCACCAATGAAGTTCTACCTAAGGTACTAATTTTTTATCATTTTATAATTTTCAGAGGCTCTCTGTCAAAAATTGGAAGCTGATGCAAGATTGAACGCTGAAGCTCGCTCTTGTACGGGGAGTTTGGCAGTACATCCTCGGTCAAGAGATATCAAGATTGATACTTTCTCGATAACGTTTCATGGCTGTGAATTGCTCCAGGATACCTTGCTAGAATTGAACTGTGGTCGACGATATGGTCTGATTGGTCTGAATGGCAGTGGTGAGTATTTAATAAGTATTCTCAAGTTTACCCATAAGGCTAGAAGATACGTAATTACATCACCTATGTTGATTACAAAAATAGCACCTGTTTTCAGATAAATAATTTTTTGGGATGAATACAATAGATCTTATTTTTAATCACATGCTGTGGAGATAAGCATTTGGTTCCCATCGCCCAAAGTGGGAGTGGAAATGCCAAGATTCCTAGAAAGCTGTGGTTAAACTGAACTGCTCTCAAAGCAAGATCGGTTAAAACAAACTCAAGCTGTAATATTTTACGATCGTGGGCAGATAATCTGATTAATGGTTAATTATTGATCTGGTTAATGCAAGGTTGTTTAAGGGGGTAGTTTTTTTAGTTACAATAATCTATCACTTTCCATGCTTGTTCACATACTGTTGCACAACTTATATTTAGTCACATGGTCTTTGGAGGTTAGTTTAAAATTATTATGTAGCCTATTTCACATATTTACGGAATTTGATTCAATGCCAATTGATGTTTTTAGGTAAATCAACACTACTATCAGTTTTGGGCAACCGAGAAGTTCCTATTCCCGATCATATTGACATATTCCATCTGACGAGAGAGATGCCTGCTTCGGACAAATCTGCCTTGCAGTGTGTCATGGAAGTAGACCAGGAGAGAGTTCGGCTAGAGAAACTTGCAGAGGAATTGATTGCTTGCGATGACGATGGTAGGTGCAGTTGAAAATATATATATTTTTTTTAGCCTGGAATTGTGGTCCACATTGCTTCATGCTGGTTCTACTAAGGGTCACGGTATTACCACTTGGATAAATTCACTAGTGATTAACGGGATTTTAACCCAGGGCCTTCGGGACTGAAGACCTGCGCTCTATACCATTAAACCAGCTTGGTCTCTACAAAATATATGTTAGAAATTAGTTGTTTCCTAGGTTCAACAATGCGTAAAGAATTATTTTTACAGAAGACATGAGTAGATCTAAGGTTTGTTTAATATGAGGTAGTAGACTCCCTCTTATCCGGACACCTTTTAACTGGACTACACTCGGTGGAAATGACATCTCTTTAACCGGACAATTTTTATCAGCACATCGGTTTAACCGGACCAGATCGGCAGGAAGTGGGCGGTACTGAAACGACTGTTTTCGTGGGAAAGATTTGAGACCAGTTATCATGTCTCTAAATACGATGCTCTCCTAAATTTAAGTAAAATACTGTATACAGTATGCATTTAAATGGTCCGTTGAAACCAGTTTCTGGAGACATCGGTTTAAACGGAAAACCCGTTTTCTGTACTGGCCTCTGTCCAAATTCAAATTCAAATTATTTATTAACTCATAACATCTTTTGGAGTACAATGTACATAGATAGGAGTTTTGTCAATATTTATAAAACTAATACTACACTGATATATTTGATATAACTAATTACAATTATTCAAACTTTAAAAATGTAATAGTAATACTGTAAACTAACTAAAGCATTTCATTTCATTCATTTTTACAAAAAGAAAAAATATCTGTCAATTCTTAAAACTAAGCTCAAACTACATGACGAAATACCAGTCTGGTCTGTATCAGGACAGGATATAGGCTTTGTCCTGTATATAATTCTACTACAGCAAAAAAAAAAAATAATAATATTAATAATAGGCTAATAATAATAGTAAATAAATAAAATAAAAATAATAAGGACTCTTTAAAGCATTATTGATTGCTCAACAACAATGATATGGAATATGATATGGAATTATATACAGTCCCGAGAAGTCCGGATAAGAGGGAGTCTACTGTATGTAATATTTTGAAGCCATGTCAATGATATTGTGACTCATTCGTGAACAAGTTTTATAAGATTGATACATTTTTCAATTATTGTAGCCTAAGCATTGACTTAATGAATTACATAGTCGCCTTATCCAATAATAGAATATGGTCAAATGAGCCTCTTACTGAGTGCACTACACAGTCAAAATTAAATGTTTCTCCTACACAATGATTTATGGTGATGTGATCTAAAGAATGCTGTAAAAATTATTTAAAACCGTTGAAAATTGTTTAATTTGTAAATTTTCTTGTAACAAAAAATAATTTTAATCAAGATAACTTTGAATATTTTATAGATTCATTGTGGAAGGTAATTAAAAAGAATAGATCTACAGATACTGGAGCTACTAAGTGTATACCGTTATGTAAAGCCTCGTCTTGCTTTCTAGATGCCCAGGAGCAGCTGATGGACGTGTATGAGCGTTTGGATGACATGAACGCAGACACGGCAGAGGCTCGCGCCGCGTACATCCTGCACGGTCTCGGCTTCACTAAGGAGATGCAGCAGAAGAAGACCAAGGACTTTTCGGGTGGGTGCATGATTTAGTTAGTGTTTCATAACAACTATGTTTTGGTCTGGAATGCATAAACAAATGACTAGATACTTAAGAATACATTTTGTTGGTTTTTTAAATGTAAAATCGGATGAACCACCTAGATTTTTCCAGGAGGACATTTACAATAGAGTTTTCCTTTCACGTTTGAGAATGTTTTTATCTTTGTTTCCATTCAGTAAAATATCAATTATTGTCATTTTAGTAACTTAAACACCTTTAAATTTACTATATTCAGATATTGGTATCACTATTGTAAAACATCGTGCTGTAACTTTACTGACATGCTTGCTTTGGTACACAGGAGGTTGGCGGATGAGGATTGCACTGGCCAGGGCATTGTACGTTAAGCCTCATCTGTTACTGCTCGATGAACCTACCAACCATCTCGATCTGGACGCCTGCGTGTGGCTTGAGGAAGAACTCAAAACGTAAGCTTAGGCAACCATTAGTATTACCATAGACTAAGCAACACAAGTAGACTCCTCATCCCATTGTAAATTTTGATGCTTGTTTTTAACAAAACATAACCTCTATAGTTGGACGTACAGAACTAACAATAAAATTGGCTTCAGCTGTTCCATTAGGATGACTAATCTACTAAGGGAGTATGTTTTATCTATGGTATTACCCTACTCAAAGACGGAATCTTTAAACTACATATGAAGTTTAAGTTCTGTAGGCTACTGTACCACAATGATTTTCGAACAAGCAACTAATTTTGGATTTGATGCGGGTTGTACAACATCCGGGAAGACGCTGCTTCCAGTTATATTTTTTAAATATTGCACTAGCCCCTAAAAGAGGTATTTCAGAGGTTTATGAATGTTACTTAGTAGATTTTCTGCAACACTTGTTGTTATGTAAAGGTTAGTGACATTTTCTGATTATCCTATTTCTGACTATCCTATTCACACCTCAGTTTTAAATCAATGTAAGGGTGAGAAGGCAAAGGTGAAATTCCACCAAACCATCCAATGTTGGCTAAGAACACATTAAAACCCCAAAAGGCATACAGGATCCAAGGTTCAATCGAGATGTTGTTACTGAAGAATTTGTAATATTTTGTTATGACGGTATTAGATCAAGTGTTGTCTAAAGCCTCTGAAAGTGACTACATAGTTTGAGCTATGATAGGCTAGTATTGTTGAATTTGTTAGATACAAGTTTAAATTTACTTTTTATAGGCATACTAAATACATGGACAAATTCTTCTTCTGTTTTCCAGTTATTTTACATGTTCTAGGCATAAAGTAGACTTCTTCCCTCCTAGATAAGGTCAAATAAGCCCTCTTCCTTCCTAGATAAAGCCAAATAGCCCCTCTTCTCTCTTAGAAGGTCAAATAGGCAATTTTCCTTCCCAGATAAAGTCAAATAAGCTCTTAGATAGGGTCAAATAGGCCCTCCTCCTTCCTAGATAAGGTCAAATAGGCCCCCTTCCCTCCTAGACAGGGCATCTTCTCCTATTCACAGTTCCCCTGCACCATTTTCCATCTCACTCATCTTTTCACTACAATTCTCTGTACCCATCCACAGTATCCGCCTTCCTCTTAGTCTTCCCCTGAATATACTTCTCTCTATAACCTACAACTCCATACTTTGTGTAAAATGTAACCAGCTCATTCATACCTAAATTCAACGGTCAAAGAGGAAGCTCAAAATTACAAACAATTTTGTTTTCAGGTAGGCTATAAAAGAATATTGGTGATAATAGCTCACTCTCATCTTTTCACTACAATTCTCTTCACCGTATCCGCCTTCCTCTTAGTCTTCCCCTGAGTATACTTCTCTCTATAACCTACAACTCCCATTCCATACTTTGTGTACAATCTAACCAGCTCATTCATACCTAAATTCAATGGTCAAAGAGGAAGCTCAAAATTACAAAACAATTTTGTTTTCAGGTATAAAAGAATATTGGTGATAATATCTCACTCTCAAGATTTTATGAATGGAGTCTGCACCAATATTGTCCATTTAAATAAGAACAGGCTAAAATACTATACTGTGAGTATGCCTACATGTTTATTGATCAACTAAGTATATGTAGAGTTGTATTTATAATTTTAAAAGTAGTGCTAATGTTAATTGTAGCGATTATTGTCTTATTGTGAGCTAAAATCTTAAAAACAAGTTAAGTATAGTGGTTACTGTACTACCGACTAATGCTCTCCAGACTGGAGTCTATAGTCCTCGCCACCCTAACTTGAGGCAGCCCAAGGCCGCACTAGATAGACGGCGTGCGGACTTGGGCAGCCTCAAGTTAGGGTGGCGAGGACTATACACTGTGTGAACAAGCTGATTAAACTGTAATAGTATATGTCATCACTAGGGTGTAAAGTGACTCTTTTCAACCCGAACTTGAGTTTAACGACCGAGGAAAATTCAAGGTTGGAAAATGTGTGAGGGTTGTAAAGGCACCTTTTGTCTGTGTGATGAACTATATTTTTCTAACAGTATTTAATAAACTAAGTTAGAAAAAATATTTTTATATATTATTTTATATAAAGTATACATTTTTTTATCTATTTGTGTTTCAGGGTAACTACGATGCCTTTGTGCGTACCAGACTTGAACTGCTCGAGAACCAGATGAAACAGTACAACTGGGAGCAGGACCAGATCGCCCATATGAAGGTAATACAGAATGCAACACAAGGACTTTCAGATGCCTTGGTTTTAATACCTCCTGTGCAACAGTGTGTTATTTGATAGAAATAGGTTTGGTGTAAACATATGTTTTCCCCTACCAAAAACCTAAAAAGGTCAATGTCGTTAATTCACAAAGAACAAAAGGCTATGTTTGAAAAGTTGCAATTTCAGTAAGTCACTGATGAGTCAATTTCGGAGTTGGAAACACTGTTTTTGTACATTCACTTATTTCTAATAATCTTTATCAAAAACTCATGTTTTAGAGAAGTATATGCAATTCAGCCGTAGAAAAAATTTACGGTCTCAATGAATTCCCTCCAACGTTGGTCCTTGATCGTCCGTTGTCATGGTGTTGAGCATTTGGAACTGATGACAGTACGATACAAACAACAATATGTAATGGGATTCACACAAACTATTTCCCATACATTATATGATAATTTTTGTTTGTTTAGGTTTACACCCTAAATTTTACGCTCAATACACTAGAATTATAATCAAGAAAACCACACTTGAGTCTAAAACTTAGTTTGGTTGCAGAACTACATCGCCCGGTTCGGTCACGGAAGCGCCAAGCTTGCAAGACAGGCTCAGAGTAAGGAGAAGACGTTGGCCAAGATGGTCGCTCAGGGACTGACGGAGAAAGTCACCAACGACAAGACGGTGACGTTCCACTTCCCTTCCTGTGGTACCATCCCTCCCCCGGTCATCATGGTTCAGGTAAGCACCAAGGGTGAACGTTGCGAAAGGGAAGTTATTTTTTAGAAACACCTTTGTTTCAAGGATTTACCACAAAAAAAGGTTATACTCATTTGCACATTCATTGTGCCGAACGTGTCTTATAGGAGAGAGTTGTGCTATTACCATTGCTAGAAATTTTACTAATGTGTGTGTAGTATACAAACCTAAAGAAAATGAAAAGATCAAGAGTGGTTTACATGGTCTTTTGAAATAGATTGCTTATGAACACTATGCAAGTACTGTAAAGTGAAAGTGGAAACATGGGGTAAATTTTTAGAGTTTTTGGATTGGTAGTAGGTTTACCTGAGTGCAAACAAGGTCATACTGGCACATGAAATACAACATTTTAGACTAGTCCTAAAAAAATTAATATTCAATTTTTCCGTGACAGCATGTTCAACAGATGAAGGTTTGGATTTCTGGAAGTTAGAGGAACTACTTGCCACCATTTTACTTTGGTTGGAAATGCTGTCAATGAAAGTGAAATAGGCTATTAAAATTTCTGTGAATAATGAAAAATGTAGCGTTTCTTGTGTCAGAGAATATTTTTCCATTGAGGCAAGCCTGCTTTCCTCTGAAAAAATGTGGATTTAAAATTTGAAGGTTAATGTAAGTAGAGTATTTTATAAAATATTCGATTGTTAAGGACCTTTTGATTGAATTTATTGAATGAAATAATATTCTTTTGTCCCTTGATGTTGAATTCAATAGGCTAGGCTTACAGGCTAATATATGTCTTTTTACAGAACGTCAGCTTCCGTTATACAGACGACAGTCCGTATATTTACAAGAATTTGGAATTCGGAATTGATTTGGATACACGACTCGCTCTTGTGGGTCCGAATGGAGCGGGAAAGAGTACGCTTCTGAAACTTCTGTATGGAGACGTAAGTTGGTTGCTTTTTTAAGTTCGCTCTTAAAATCTGAGCACAAAATGTAACTGATGAATAAATAGTCCCAACCAGGTTGAGATTTGCAACAGCACAAAAAGACATTAGACGTTCTAATCTGTAACATTCTGTTCATTACAATGGCGGATTACCCAAGTTGCTTGATTACCAAGTGGCATCAAAAATACCCGTTGCTGCGAGTATAGCAAAATCTAGGGATGGACGAGATTGGATTTTTAGTTCGAGACGAGACGAGATTTTTTATTTCTCATAAAATTTCGAGACGGGATTTCCCTTCTCATACACAACGGGAAATGCACGTTCGGAATTTTTACCTGATTTTGTAACATTGTTAGATGACTGTTTAAATACAAAAATAATGATAATAGGCAAGAATATTTACAATCTTGCCTTGTCGGACATCAACCAATTGTCTAATAACGCCTGAAATCTGAAACAATATTTCCGAATGTAATCAGAAGTTACATTCGGTATTAATATAGCCTACCCAAGAACATTGCCATTGCTGGATTATAAAATGTGTTGCATTAGCAGGGTTATATTGTAGCAGTGTCTGAAGTCAATGGTTAAAATCAGTATCTTAAAATACTTCTCAACAGGCACGTATCTTTTTCCAGAACTAACATTTAATGTTTCTAAATATTTGATTCTCGGATAGGCCTATGACAGAAAGTATTTAATATCATTCTGATTCTCTCCTCAGTTGATCCCCACTGAGGGAATGATCCGTAAGAACTCCCACTTGAGGATCGCCAGATATCACCAACATCTGCACGAGCTGCTGGACTTGGACATCTCCCCGCTCGACTACATGTTGAAGAGCTTCCCCGACGTCAAGGAACGCGAGGAGATGAGGAAGATCATCGGAAGATACGGTCTAACCGGTAGGCAACAGGTACTGTGCTCGGCTGTTGATAGATGTGAAGGTTTGGTAACGGCCAAAGTTTTTGCTGTTGATAGTGGTTTATTATCTGTACTTTAAGGTTAGGTTTTTAAAAATAGCCTACATTCAGGAAGAAGGAATGTATACACAACTATCTTCTTCAAAGAAACCTCTTGTAGGGGTTAAATATCAAGTTTATTGTTGTGAATATTATTTTTGCTTTCAACTAGCTGGAACTCTTTTCTAAGGTTAGTTGTCTATCCATTCCTACCTCCTTAATGTATTATCTGTACTTATTTTGCATATTTTAAGCTAAATGTGAGTGAATGGATTGAGATGATCTGTGTAGCTTTGCTCTGACCAAAACGCACTGCATTTTAGCTATGACCAATTATTTTACTAATGCGCAATCAAGGAATAAACTAACAAAAAAGTACTGCTCAGGATGAACTGACAACTTTTGATTGTCTGGCGCACTTCTAAGCTTTTATCCATTGATTGGTTTTGACTGTTTAATATTTGTTTAAAAAAAACGTTAAGGTTCAAACAAGATATCGTCACCGTAGTTGGCTTTGGTCAGATATTTTTGTGTATTAAAGACTTTCTAGATATGAAGTATACGGTGTGTAAAGTCAAAGATATTTGCAACTCTACTTGATATATTTACTTTTATTGAAATTGTTTTCAAGACAGACCAGATAAAGATGTTGTATTGGCTATTAATTTTGAGCAGTCTCACCAGTTATCAGAAGGCCCCATCCAATAAAATCATTTTAAGTGTACACCTAAGTTTAGTTAAATGAGAATTAATATTTTAACAATACGGTAAGTTTTGACCTTGAAGTTTTAAATTTTGAACATGGAAAACACGAATGCCCTTTTAATTTTATTTTAATGACTGTACACTCTTACTCTTTCTCCTAGGCTATAGCCCGGAATAGTTTTTTCACCTACAGGCGAGGCTAAAGGTTTGTGGATGACATACATTTTTAACTATTTAGGACTTACGTAAATAAAACCCACTGGTGATTTGGTAGGATTTAAACCCAGTAAGTTTACCTCAGGGACTGAAGTCCCATGCTCTATACTCTACTACTAGATCAGCTCACTGCGCAACCTAATTTTAGTGAAATTTTAATCACCAAAATTTGTGTTTCAGATCTGCCCTATCAGACAGCTGAGTGATGGCCAGCGTTGTCGCGTTGTGTTCGCCTACCTGGCCTGGCAATGCCCACACCTGCTGTTGTTGGACGAACCTACCAACCATCTGGACATGGAGACCATCGACGCACTCGCCGAAGCCATCGCAGAGTTTGAGGGAGGTATGGTCCTCGTCAGTCACGACTTCCGACTTATCAGTCAGGTGAGTTTAGGACAATCCTAACATTACAATGTGCTGATTTTAATTTGATAGTGTGAACACAAAGATATTATATACAGAGAAAACACGTTTATGGGACAACCGTGCACTTTCAGTTCTAGTATGTTGTACCAGAAATACACTTGTGACAAGCAAGAAAAAGTCTGTGCAACACACACTGTGCTGAAATTCTTATTGCAAAGGGTCTTGTTCCACCATGAGCTTTGAAAAATTAGGGTGAGAGGGGCGTTGTTGGACTTTGCCATGCTGCACTTAATTGTACGATTGAATTTTTCTTCTTTACTTTACTTCTCTGTGGTGTGAATAAATTATGTTTGACTTTTTGGAATTTTGTGTGCCATCAATTGGTCAATTGGTCTCTAAACGCCATTTTCTATGTAATTGAAACTTGACTTTATTTTAATACTTAACTTAATAGCCTTCTTTTTTTCATTTTTGGCCTCACCGTCATTACTTTTTATTCTGTTAGAAGATGTATAACCAAATCTATTGATTGACAGTCTTTTTCTACCAAGTGGTATTCCTTCTGAGGCTCTTAGGATTCGAAAAAGAACCATTAGGTACTAAGTCTTAATTAATGTACACTAATGTTTTATCTTTTGTAGGTGGCCGAAGAGATCTGGGTATGCGAGAAGGGAACAGTGACTAAATGGCAAGGCGGTATCCTGGACTACAAGGACCATTTGAAGCAGAAGATTTTGAAGAATGCGAGCAAAGAAAAAGAGCCACCAATGAGAAGGAAATAATGAGTTTGGTAAGAGATTGTTTGACTTATTGTACTTGTTACAATCTTTGTATGAAAGTTGTCCGTAATATAAGGTCTCCAATGAGCCTAGACGCAGTCAGTCGATTCTGTTTGGATTTCAACTAGCTCGCTTGGCTGCGTTTGGTGCTTGGAGACCTTACTATTTGGACGGTCTCTTGAGTGTTGTATATTTTTCCTGGAGGTGAATGTAGGCCTACACCATGGTTGTCTTTTACCGCCAGATTACAGCGTTATCATCATTGCTGAACACCATTCTTGATCGGCAGGATTGGAAGTCGAGCCTCTTCCATAAAAGAAAGTTCTTTGCTCCAAAAACTACTAACTAGAACACTAATAACTTTATGAAATTTGAAGCTTATTGTTTTCAAAATGTTGGTTTTGTTTCAGCCCTCACTCAACATGGCACACAAAGACCCTCCTGACGTCCGTCGGGAAATGAAAATATCTCGGTTTTCCTGGAGCACTCTGCTAACTAATTGTTACTGTTTTATTGGAAATATTGTTTTAATTTAATTAGATTCAATCAATCATCATATTGTATTCATTTCTTTAATTAAACTTAGTCGAAAACCGAATTATACTTGTTATAAATACCCTTCTGCCAGTCCTGTTATTTATTTTTTAATTGAGAATATTAAATTTAAATTTTTTATAGTTATTAGTTTTATTTTCTTCCCTCATCGTTTCCTAGTGTAAGCTGTAGGATTTAATTTTATAATGTAGATTTCATGTGCTGCAAGTTATAGTAATCCGTGACATTGGCTTTGTTTTTTGTATATTAGGGAGCTAACCAGTCTAGTGGAACTAACGAGGAACTCCAGTCCTGAGTTTAAATCCCGCCAAATCAATGGATTTGATCTAAAATATGTTTTCGTCATACTTGCAGCAAAAACAGCCGTTTTTTAAATGCATTTGTTGCGGGTCTAAAGTAGCATTTTTAGTCTCTAGGGAGTAAAAGTCATCTTAAGCCTAGATCTAAAAATAAGTCTAGGGAGTAAAAATCAGCTGTTGTAAATTTTGATTGTTGCAATTGTATCGATCTAAATTATTGATTGATTGATATATTAGGTAAGGTTTAGCCTATTGTTGTTGATGGGTCGAAATATCGATGGTATAATGTACTGTAACACAATCGTAATAGACGAAATGATTGAATCACTTACTAAACAGCTGCTCATTTACATTAGTGGAATTGAGTTGTTTTGAGATGTTATCTTAACATACAAATTATTTTGTTTTCTAGCGTAGTTTGTTAATTAATGATGCAATCTGACGAAAAATATAGTTCACCACACAGGCAAAAAGTGTCTATTAACCCTTGCTCATATTCCGACCTCGGCTTCGCCTTGATTGTAAAACTTGACCTGTGGTCAAAAAGAGTCCTAGTGATGAAATATACTATTTTAATGTTTTTTTGTTGAAACATAGACTAATACTTTCATGTTCTTACAAATTTTGTAGAATAAAAAACAAGAACTTAACTGGTCTTTTTTCCTTCATGTATTTGGTTAAAGAAAATCAAACACATTCTGAACCAATCACATTTTTGTGGTTTTACCACGGATTGAATTAATCTTAGTTCAAGACAACCATTAGGCTTACAGTGAAACTCCTTACAAAAGCAATACTTAAAAGTAACAAAAAAAAAATTAAAATCAATTGAAAAATTAATGGGGTCCTGTGCCCAACAGAACATAATGGAGCAGACTACAATACAGCTTTCATACCGTAATAGAATAATGGTCAGAAAATACAATTCAATATTTGAATAGGTTATGTGTTTGTATCTCACCGACAGCAATTAAAATATTGTAAAAAACTACTGTTATATGTCTCTAATAGCCTCTAAGTTCCAACCATTGATAAAAAAAAAGGTTATTGAAAAAGCTCCGTCCTCTTTATTTTGGTTAGTTAAGGTTTTACTGAACACCAAAATTGATTTCACTTTATTGATTCAAATGATATCATTCCAAAATTGTTAGAAATTCCAGTAGGCCTACATAGCTTTCATTAAAAACCATGGCTTATGAAAGTGAAAATCTAACAGATTTCACATTAGCCTGCTTATCAATTCATTTATTTAATACTTTGAACTCAGAAAAATAAATTGAAGAAGAATGTTGAAAAAGAACTTTGATATTAACATACTTTGGATGTAGGTTTTTTAAGGATTCCAGAAAATGCTTAAATAGATGGAATTAGGTTTTCAATGTAAAACACATGACCTTAAAATAACATAATTTTATCTTGCATTTTTGTTACAAAAGACTAACGAATAGCATAGTGCATAAATGTACTGTACTTAATAACTACAGTACCTAACTTAACACTGCTAAAGTTAATTCAGCTCTTCAGAGTGTAATTCATATTCTGGCCTGTATTTACAAGTAAATGCATCATCGTTCTTTATATTTTTCACATGCTAATATTCCTGGTCTTATGGTCTTTGTCTAGAGTTGTATTCATTACTTAAAAGTCTGAAACAAAAATAAACCAAATATATAGTATCAATAAATGTAGTAACCTTCTGTGATCATCGGTGACTATCCAACAAAGATAGGCCTACTGGGATAAATGACGGGCGAGACTGTGGCAGGGCCTTCATTGTAGATGTTATCCTCCGGATTGTCAAATAATATTAAAAGGTTCAAATAAGTTACCTGCTATTAGGCAATCCAATGTTGTAGTAAAGTAAACACAACTAGTTTCGGTACCTGTATGGCACCAACATAAGGCTGTACAAGGACAGTTTTCTTACTTCATACAAAGAGCGTCATATTGTTTAACAAGAAAAAAAATAATTTTATAAACATTTAAACATGACACAAACAAGAATACGAAACATTTATATAGTAACTGATCAGTTAAGAAAACAGACGACGCTAACACGGTGGATTTGAGTTTAGACTACCCCTAAGCGTGGAAGCGGAGTCCGTCTTAGGTAATTTGATGGTAATGTTTTCCAATAAGTCAAACAGACTGCCGCTGGATGAGCAGAAGATCGCTCCCTGTACTCCGTACCAGGAAAATTTATTTAAATATTACCTATATGCTAAGCAAAAAAATTTTAGGATTACTGAAAAACTTTTCATTAAATTCCCTCAACTGTACTAAATAATAAAGCGTTTTGGCTTTTAATTCATTTGTTGCACTCAAACAATGGATTAAAAATGGTCAGTATCTGACATTGGGTCTGTATGGACGTGCTAACAGAAAACATTTGCTTTCACAGCTTTTTTGGCGTTATGACATAATACCTACTGTTCTCTCGCTAGGTCTTCAGATTTTAAGAATCAGTTTCCTATTCATGATGTGTTACACAATCAAAAGCCTAAAAATTAGTAAGGAAGAACTTTCATTTTTAAAAGACTCTTGATAGCCAAATCAATAGTCATAATAATTAAGCTTAACCTAGGGCCTAGAATTTATTAAGTTTACAAAATGATAAAAACAGGAACTTATAAGTTAGACGTTATAAGTTATTGTTGATAGGTCATCACTTTACTTAAATCATGTTCTTGGGTTGGGTTACGCTAGGTTTTTCACTCTTTGTTTAGGCTATTATACTCTAGATTGAAAGCGTTCCGGTTATCAAAAGAAGAGTATAGGTTCTTCATAGAGCCAAGCACAATTTTGAAATAGCCTAGTCCTACGATTGAGAATATCAATTGAATTTATGGTTATTGATATTTTTATGAATACAATGGAGTCAAATAATTATTTCACTAAATAGGCCTAAGGCTACCGGATACCTTACCCTGCTACCGGTGTTTAGGGGCTATCACAGCTTCAACTCCGAGGCAGTATCAACAATTGTCTCTCTTCCTTCTTTCAACAAATCTTCTTTAGCAGATTTTTCTTCCTCTAAAAGTTTAGGCCTTACTTTAAATGTGAGCTCATACATGCCATACATAACAAAAGCAGTGCCAACCAGTGTAGAGGCGATGCAAATTTTGACGAGCCCAATATGAAGTCTGCTAGCCAAATTATTTAACTGCTTGAGATTCATGGTGATCATGAAATAATAGACTTAAACTTTCCTAGGCTATTCAGGGTTTTTTTAGGAACCTAAAACACAGCAATCCACCAAGTTAAATAATTGCAATGACACATCTAACACACTGTAAATAAATAGCAGACGACGGATACCAATACAGCTGTGACACTGATGAGAGCTCAGCTGACATTCTTTTCCCCAACTGACTTCACTGACAGAGTAGCCACAACACAAAACACAATAATTATTATCTGTCGTAAGCGACCTATTAATTGCATTTAGACACTATAACAAATTCAGCATGGCTGACAAAGCCTTATTTTATCATTTTGGAACGGGACTTAAAAATTTCATAGAACTAAATAAATTGACTGTCTAATTTCTGCTACAATAACTTTGTTTTTGAATAACAATAACATTTTTACGACTACGTACCTATATATTATTAATAATATATAAGAGATATACTTAATACAATAAGGGTTTTCTCTGTTACATCCGTTTTCCAGCCGTCCTACGATTTCCGACTTTTACGATTGAGGTGTAATTTTTAAAACTGATGATCCGGGGGCCCTGCGAATGGTAACGATAAAGTGACTTCCATAAGGGCTTCGCCCCATTTCAATTATTTCTTAGGTTCCCTTTCAAAGGTCCAGTGTTGCTGATAAACTTTCTTGATAACTTTTTAAATATGAATTGTAATCTAACATCTAATAATTCAGTCGAATGTTTATCCAAAGTGAGATTGTAAAAAATACACAGACGATATAGTACGATAATAGGTTCAATAATTAATTTTAAGATCAAATACCAAATTTTTTTCTTGACGTGTCATGGAGAAAAACAAAAAGACACACACATGCTAAGAGCTACACATAAATTAATAGGGACTCTGGGTGGATGAAAAGAAAAATAATTTAAAATCTTCCACGTGCCCCTCTGATCCACCGGTCATAAAAATCTGGCTGAATTGAGGGTAATTATTGAGGAGAAATCATTATAACAACACGTATAAACTATATTTATTCTGGTGATAGTGTGCAATAAGTTGTTAAATAATTTTCCTTTTTAACAGTCCTTCCAAACATTATTAAAATGTCGTTAAAACACAATTAACGTCACTCCGAGTTATCCCTAAATGGCAATGAATCATTTAATAACGTCCAAACCCAACTTGTACCTTGTGAAAAAGAACTGTGTTTTCACGTTGAATATAAATAGTTGATCATAGGATAATATAAGGAGTTTATAGTTTTAAAATGTTATTATATATAGTGTTTCCATAAAATATACATGCGTGGTTTTCCATTACTATTTTGTACTGGAATCAAAAGAACTTTGAAAGTGTATAAACATAAATTTTTTCGTTGTTTACAGGCTGGAAGTTTTCATACCAATTTTTAAAAATAACTGAAATTTTCTTGCTGCAGTTAAAATAACTAAAAAAAGAAATAACGAAACAAACGTGACAACTTGAGTAAGAGCTTTGTTGTAAGCGGAACCTAAATCTAAAGAAGATAAACAGAGCATAAGGGAAATCTTTAGCCCGAGATCGAGCCAAATCCAAGGGTTTTGTGAAAATTCAATTCTGTGATAGACTATTTGATGTACTAAAGCTTGAATGTCAAAATTGAATTTATAGGGTTGAGTTAGATTAGGCTAGGGTCAATTTATGTTAATACTATGTTAGGTTATCATGTAGCCTAAATGAATTTCAGGAAAGTATAAGATAAAATATGCCTTAAAATAAATAGGTCTACTATTTGAATTGTTAGAAAATATTTCCAAAAATTTTATGACGATATTATGTACTTTTAACTTACATAATGTCTCGTTAATGTTCCACATTTTATTTGAGTTAGTAATATGATTTAATAATTCTTAAGAATCTCTATGTACAAAATTTAATAATTAATGATCCACGCGTAAGTTTGTAGATTTATGGACTTCATCTGTCAACCCATTCAGTTTAACACACTGTTATAGAATATATTTTATGTTTTTTATCCACACATATTTTGTAACTTTTTTGGTTGTAAAATCATTTAGGAGTAAGCCAAAGTTTGTATTTTGTTGTGCATTAATTTCTTTAAAGTGCAAAGCCTGAACAAAATCTACTGTAACTTAAAATACGAGTATAAAAAACGTCTCTACAACAAATATCTGTACAACAATATCTGACATTGCTCTAGAATCTACATTTCCCATTACAACAATGTTGTCCAGGAAATAAGGCAAACAAACCAAGTAAACTCTCAAAGGGGTAGTACGTTTCCATCCCTTATTCTCTCGGTTTTAGGAAGAGCTTTTTAAACAAAACAAATAAATACAATTATTTTAAAGTGCTGTAAAGACGAATTCCACATCTGTAATGAGCTTGGGGGAAAGCTTTAAAGCAATTTTAGTCTATATTAATTGTTGTCTATATTAAATGTCAAATATTAAAGTTTCTTAAAGCAAATTCAGGCAAAAAGAATTTTTGCACTTAAATTTCTAACTTGTATAGAATATGAATATCTTTATATAGGCAAACATGTTAAAACATTTTTTCTCAGCTCGTGTCCATCTTAGGGAAAATCTACGCATACTGTTAGACAGATATCTTCCTGTAGGTGTGCAAAATCCCTTTATAAATTAAAATATGCTAAAAATAAGCACAAAAACAAGAATTTAAAATTTAACAAAATTAACATGGATCTTAAGGGTTGCCATGCTGGTGACGAATAACAACGAAATGTAAACAGAAAATGAAAACAAATTGAAGAAATTCCAAACACATATTTTATTTAGGCCCCTACTGCGTGGGGTGAAAATATAGAAGTCTGTAGGCCTACATTAGATATTTTTGGTCGTGTTTTCGACCACTGGACGACCTCTAGTACATATAAAATTACTGTTTCCAGAGAATAAAGTTACAAAAGCGATTTTAGACCAAGTGCATTTTCAAACTTGTAAGGATTAGTTTTCAATGTAGGTCAATGCAGCCTTAATGCAATGTTAATAATTAATGTAAGACATGATTGCTCTTAGAATCATGAATGATTCAATACATTTCCCCGATTTAATTATTGTGAGTTAAGATGACTTAGTAGAATCAGAATCAGAATCATAATCAGATTTTCTTTTGTGCTCTAAAAAAGACAAATATACATGACATGTACATTTGTCTTTTACATTGCATATAGAAAGGCCCACTTAAAAACTAGGATTATGAAAATAATGAAAAAAAACTGTAACTGACTTGAGAAATTATCCCAATTACAATTTTACTAATGAAGACTACGAAGAGAAACTACACTGTAAACCTCTTTGTCAAAAAGGTAACTTAAACTATTGCCTAAATTTTCGGGTTCAGTTTTCTATTTTTGAAAAATATGATTTTATTTGATTGTATTACGAGGAAGAGTACTAACTAAGAGGTACAGTAAGCGCTAAAAATTCTCAATGCAAAAGATATTTTTGGCTGCTTAGCATATACATGTGAATAAAAAAAAAACAAAAAAACAATAGTGCTTTCTTTAATGTTGAGTTGTGGTAATGCAACTTCTTCATAGCATGATGGTGACCTTTTACTTTCGTCTTCGAAAAATTATTGTTTTCGTCAAAATCTTTGAGTCAGAGTTTTGGGTTACTCTCAACCCAATAAATTGGTTGTCAGATGTCTGTATGTGTGGATGTATACGGAGACAGACACCTGTGGTCCGATTTTGATTATTTGGTATGTGGTTTCTATTTTATGGTAACTCCAGGAATTTTAATTTATTAGAAATTTTGGTTTTTAATGGTGATTTTCTCACAGAACTTACTTAAACTCATGTAAATCGGCTCAAACGATTTTTATTAGAATATAGCATGTTTTGGCCCTTACAACTCTAAATAAATTTGTAAAACTTCCTATGCAACGAGTTGCTCCTATGCTGTAAACATCACGGTTCAAATGTTATTGCAAATTTTGTGCTTTTACCCATAGCATAATAATACTCCTACCGGTCCATTATTGTTGATAAGCTAATGGGAGAAATTCTATGTCAAATTGCCGATACCATTTATTTTTAAAAATTGTAGCCTCTATGAAATACTGTACAACCATGCAACGATAGGTCTGTGTATTCATCGGTTAGGCATACATACAATGTATGGCCATAACGAGTATGCAGAAGGTTTCGACAAATACGCAGAATTGTGTATTGTGTCACGGATTTGGGTTTAGGACATCACAATATCCCTACAAGCTGTCACAACTATAGTTTTTTTTTATTTAAGAATAAAATGTAAATTAAACATTGAATTGATGAAGTCAAAAATATGGTTAAAAAAATACTAGGCTACCTATTTTAAATACGTTTAAAATAGTATTGTGAACCTTAGATACTAGAAACCCCATTTCAACATATTTTACCAAGCATTATAATAATTCAAAGATTTTGTGTGTGTAAGGAAGGAAGCTATTTTATCTATAGGAAACCATACTAGTCTTTTTGGTAAAGGTACAATTTATTTATCGTATTGTAATGGTGGATAGGAAGATTCCATAATAAGCCGATAAATGATTTATTTTACACAGTTGGCCTCCGAACTATCAGATCAAGGATCTTTAAAGGCGCTGCCGTCTGAATAAATAAATAAAATCCCCAATCGTATTAAGTAAATGAGAATTCTACTAGTACCATTCGTCAATGGTACAATTGTATTAGTATGGTAATACAAATCTGAAAAAATCGACCCTATAGAGCTTAAACATGTTTACATTAAAACCTTTTTTAAGAATTAAAAGTTAACTTTGTATAAATATATTTGGATTCATATTCTAGCGAACAAAATGTGATGAATATTAGTTAATGAATCAAATAATATGAAAAAGGCATAATTAACAAATGCCTATGACATCATTGGCAGCCACGAGAATACCAGCTAACGAAGCAAGTATGTTAGTGTCAGATGTCATATTGATAATGACAGTCACAATAACATCACACAACGTTTAATTTGCATTGTTGTCGGTGACAGAATGCCAAACAAAGCAACTCAGGTGTTGGTGGCGGATTTTCAATAATATTTAAGGTTGTGATTTTTATTTATTTTTAACGCAGAAGTAGTAATTAAATTTGTGGAACAATCTGTAACTTACGAATCTGATTAAAATAGGGAAATACAAGAAT